AAGTAGCATATCTCAATGTTCTGTCTCAGTGTTCTTATCTCAGCAGTATATCTTGGTGTTCAACCTAAAGGTAGCATTCGGTAACTCTAATTGCACGGAGTCTATACCTCTGATTATTGGCGGTTCTGGCCTATGCATATCTGAGGGGGTCTTGCGTTTATTTTCTCAGCTTTATTTCGCGCATTTAGTTAGCAAAGGTGCATCGTGCTATACATTAGTATTGTACACTTTTGGGACTGGAGACCTATGCGTGTCCCTCGTGCCAGACCTTGCACGTTATTTATAGCACGCGCTATATTACTCGCGTTGTAAACGACAGCTGGCGTGGCACGAACTGTCTGTATATAAAGTGATAGAACTCTATGCAGCCGACTTGGAAGGGACTGTGGTGTCTCGGGCGTGTGCGCTAAATGGCGTCAGCGTGAAGGCGCGCCGCAGACGCTTTAATTTCCCGTCTTCATTTGCGTAGGCTCGTGCATGCGTACACGGGAGGATATATGGGCGCGGCAAAGCAATCAGCGTCCGTCATAGCCGACAATGAGCGTGCGATAGCTGCGATTTAGTGACGCGGATTCGTTGAAAGAAAGATAGGAGCTGCAAGTGCGTGTGCCGCGACGAGCGTGGCACACCTGTACCGGTATGATGTCAAGGTTCGCGACGCTTTATGTGGGAACAATCTCTGCGTATACTGAGTCGTGATTAAGGGGCACAATGCGTCTTCTAGGTTTGGATGTGAGTTGTACGCTGTGTAAAATAATGAGCGTCATGTTATTATGTGCATACTCGTGTGTACTTGTTTTTCATGCCTGAACTTAAAACAAAACTTCGTGATTAACGGATTGAATAGTATTACACATTTTGTGTCCTACTGAATATTTTATGACATACCCTTCTTTCTTTTTTTTTTGCTATGTAACAAGAAGTAGCCCATGTTCCCCTAAAGGTCCCCCCAACTTCTAGCCTCTATCACTTAACATAAAATTAATGAATAACGAGGATTGGGAGCTTTCCATATATTATAATCTGTCGTTCTCCCTATTCCATAACTCAACCTTGATTCTAACTCCTATTTGTGTTAGAAGAGGGAGTATGTTGCTATGGACACAGCTGGCTATCAAATAATCTTATACTTGGAACATGCTAATTATTGCATCACCTAATCTTCTGTCTTCTACCACGCGTCTATTACCAGCCTGTAACGGTGTTATCCATACTACTTGTTTCGTAGCCTGGAATATATCGGCTGTCCCCTCGTGTTCTATATATGGCTGTTCTCGCGTCTATTCAAGTTACGCTTAATATACGCAATGTGTCTCCTCATTCCTTACGAGGTCTATAACTTCTCCCCCTCTCTTTTTTTTTTCCTTCGGTATGCCCTCCAAGTTTAATACCGGTAGAGCTCGTTGATTGTACACTTGTATTTTCAATCATATTTTCAAGCTGGCTGCCACTCGATCATGCTTTGGTAACACCAGCTGTATGTGATGATGAAAAACTTTCTTTTTATTCGCTAAAAGGTATCTGGGCAAGTGGGTGTGGTCCTCAGTGCAGGGCTCCACTGGCCTTTGCGGCTCGATGGACTTGGTCGAGCGAAGTCAGCTGGCTTTTCCGATCTTTGCTAGCAAGCCCGGTCTCCCACAGCCTCGGTCGAGCTGCTGTCCCCAAAGGGGGAGAATTGACGTTTTGGGGCCGCGATTCGCATTCCCACGTAATGTGGGCGAGAGTTGGCCGTTCGCCATACCACGGAGGGCTGCGCTTGTATATTGTGGGATTTATGTGACACGTGGTTTCTTTGTAAGTGAAAGTACGTGTTGGTCTGTACTCGATGCCAATCTCGCGCCTGTTCTCTGGTAAGATCCGGATGGGGATTATCTTTGGTTTTCGAGGATGTCGCGTAGAACGTTGCTGAAGGTTCTTCAATATTCCGTCTGGTTCTTGTTAGCGGGTTGAGAGGTTGAAGTACAATTTGTGGCGCAAATGGTCCGACAGGGACCAAGAAAGACAGACTCGGAAAATTGCGCACTCTTGCAACTCAGTTACAAGTGTGTGCTTGCCTGAGCCTGTGTTTTTTCGTCCTTGTCTGAGTATTTGAGCCGTCGGTACGACTGACGTACCTGTAAGAACTAGCCGGACAGCAAATTCAGCTGTGCCCTGTGAGGCCCCCCCCCCCCCTAGTCATTGGATAGGGAGCTCATTCTTTTACTCAGTCCTACCTGTATCGGCATTGCTCATGGTAGGGTTGCGGCGTTAAACTTCACGAGGTGTTCTAAGACAGAAGCGTTATTCATCAAACGCGAACTATGTCTACCGTCGGCGGATACGATTGTTGCAAAAAATCACCATTCCGTGATGACGTCACAGATTGCCAAAGTTTGTGACGTGACTGATGTCATAGCGACATCACAGTGACGTCACTTTGACGTGATGTTGCATGATGACGTTATAACAAGGCACCATAGCTTCGTCAAAGGTAGTCCGATCACGGAGGCAATGCAAAACCCGGTAAGGTGCCTTCGATCTTGGAGGCAGTGCTGGGCCCCGTTAATTTTGTGCAGAAACCATTCGAAGGGTGGCGCAGGATCAATGCACCGACATCAACTGAAAGGAAAAAGACGATGATTTCGTCTTCGAGTCACTTTAATGAATGCATTGGATGCATAAGGCACCCTGTGATTTTTTTTTTCTTCTTCCTGTTCCCAAATTGAAGCCGGTGGACATAAGGCATGCTGTTCTGAGAAGCACATCGCTGCTTCAATTTCATTTTCCTTTCGAACTTGGCCAATACGAGAGAGAGGTGGAGCTGAAGCTTGTCTCCCACACCCTCCACTTCTTGATGGAGGTCACCGCGCACGTCTCTGTTTAACATTACGGACAGCGTTTGCTGCAGCAACCGTTTTGACAACAGTGTGGGCAACGGCACCTTCACGCAATAAGATCACCTGTATGGCTGCGTACACCGTCCTTTTTATGAAAGGGAACTCGCGAGCGCGTGGCCTAGCTGCGCGCTGCCTACAGTGCCATCAAAAACCGACAGCTAAGGAAAGCGCGTCTGCCTCTGGCGGCATCGTCCGTCGCAAGACCGGAGCGCGAATGGCATCGCTAGTCCAACCAGTCCAACACGCATGGCTCGTTATTTTGTTTACTAATAGATGATCAACTCCAAAAGCGGACACTCGTGGCGGGCGATTCAGGCGCCCTAACGCTCTTTCCTTAGCTGTTGGTGTATAGTACTGCAGGCAGCCGCCACAGGGCGTGTTCCTTTTCATAAAAAAGGATCCAGCGTAGCTTTTCTTTACCACTAGTGCGAAATTGTTTACAGTTGCGCGAAAGTGTGCAGAAGTGAATCATTCTGGCTTGCAACTGAATGTTTGGTAAATCGTGCCGCTACACCACTGCTCCATCGTCCGTACGCGGCTATCATCTCATCTCGCGCTTTGTGTCGTTTGACTTTAGCAGCTACGCAATTTTCGCTTGCCGAATGGTGTTGACACACATTCGCAAAGCGTGCCGGCCCGGGCAGTAACGGCATGCTATCCAGCCGGCACTTACGCAGGACATGCGGCGATTTCGCACTCGCATACCGCGTGTGGTTCGTGGGTGTCGTGACCTTGAGTGCGAAACAGCGTGCCATTTTTCCGAACCTAATGGCGCTGCCCGGAGGATTTCATGCTGTTTCGGGGTGGTCAGGCCCACATGGCAATGCAGTCGAACCTACTTAAAACGATACCGGTTTTAACAATATATCGTTTATAACAGTCGGAAGCTGCAGCACCGTCAACTTTTGTCTTTTCTGTATGGTGATGACCCGCTTTGAGCAATTAATATCCGCTTGCCGCGCATTATCAGTTATAACAATGAATTCTGGCTGTTGGGTATCCGTGCCTAAAGGTCGTAGAACGCGAAATCTTTACAAAGAAATGAGAAATTCAAAGTGGCGAACCCCCGCGCACAACCTTTACGTATCCCAGTGCTTTCAGGATTTGCGGTATGTTTCACGGCGTAGCGTCGTGTCACTGCGGCACAGCCAACTTTTGAAATCTGCTATAAGACGCGGGAGTTGCGGTAGCTTCTGTTAAAACGTACAATTTGAGTAAGAACTTGAGGTTTCCAAGAGTTCCAGCGTCCGAAACATCACACGTTGTCATATATTGGCTCCATGTAGCTTGCGGAGGCTCCCTGAAAGTATCCGAGTGGCACCCTCATGCCCGAAAAATCGGCAGCTTAATGTTTTGTCATCAGTGTGACTGATGTCAGTATCCTATCCGATAGGGTAGTTTTTTCAGAACAGCCTGCCATCCCCCTATTTAGAATTCGGTCGTATAAATTGTATATGGCAATCTGCCTTCATAAGAATGAAATTATCGTGGCACTCGAGTATTAAATAATTGTTATATATATTAGTTCAACTCATGGGCGTAGCTGGGTGAGGGGGGGGGGGTCGGGGAGTGCAACCCCTCCCGGGAATTTTTTCACTTTTGCTTGTGTATATGTATCCGCACACATACAAAAGAATGCATTAACACACATAAGGTATAGTTGTGCCCCCCCCCCCCCATCTCAGAAAAAAAAATTCTGGCTTTGCTACTGCATGGTTCAACTATCTATGCCAGTACGACATGTCAGGCAATAAACGAAACAAACTGCATAAAGACGTTCGCAGGCGTGCTCTCTTGGTGGTAAAATGACCGACAGGTGCACGCGTCGTGATACCTGTGATCTTTCAACCACGTCAGTATTTTACTGTTTTGATAATTTGTCTTTTGACATATACCCAATCATAAATCCTCTAATAAAGTTGTATAAAAGTAGCACGCAATATACGGCGATCTTGTGAATGTCTTGTATCTGGGCTTGAAATTTTCCCATCTCTTCAGCTTGAAGAAAAGGATTTATGACTGCATGATTCCTATCTGCATCACTGTTTGCTTCTGATTCTTCAAGCACTGTGCCTTTGCACCATTATATACTGATAAGCTCTAGCATACATGCTTCTTGTGCAGATACAATGCGGGTCGTGTGTACACGTACATCGGCGAGGTGTGCGTCTCGGTCAACCCCTACCGGACGCTCAACATCTACGGCCCCGACCAGGTGGCCGACTACAAGGGACGCGAGATCTTCGAGCGACCCCCACACGTGTTCGCGATCGCTGACGCCGCCTACAAGGAGATGAAGCGCAAGTCTCGCGACACTTGCATTGTCATCTCTGGTACGTACACAGGGGCATAGGCGGAAGTATTGTTTCAAGGGAAGCACCACCTTGATCTGAAGAGGGCACGCAGGCAGGCAGATGCGGTTGAGTGTCATTTTGTGCTCCGTGACATGGGAAAAAAAAAGAAAAAACTGAAGGGAGGGGGACACGAGCTTTGTGTGCCGCCCCCTTGCTTTATGAACACTCCTACCAGCTGTGAACGCTTGCAGTGTACTGCTCTACTGGAAATCGAAGAAAGCCCATACACTATTGAAAGGTAAAGATATAAGAACCCCTAGCTTTTTTATGGCTTTTAATGGGACCAAGAGAAAAAAAAAATAAAGATAATCACAGCATATAAACGGAGTAAACGATGAGTGGAGTGAAGCATCAATCCGTCCGCCTGTCTGTCTGTCCGTCCACTCCTATCACGCACGCATCGGGTGGACAGACGAATGGATGGATGTTTCGCTCCACTTATCATCACTCACTCCTTGGATATGCTGTGAATTTTTTATTGAACAGGACCATGTATCCTCATTAATTGTCAACTGTATGAAAACCGCTAACACCCTCTAGCAATTATTTTCAAGGGCATATACACACAATGCCATCTAGTGAGTAATTCATTCACTAGTGGTGGCGACTTAAATATCACATACAAACGGAGGAGGGAACGACCTACACCCTAAGGAGCTTCGCTCAAAAAATGTGGCAGCTGGGAAACGTATAATGTGGGCAAACGGTTAAAAACGGGAGGAGGAGTAACAACTTTACCAGGGAAAGAAAAACTTGACTTGGAATCAACATTACAGACAAACTCTTATGTCAAAGTAGAAAAACTTCTGCAACTAAAATGACACTGACGAGACTATAATTAACAAAAAATACATAACATTTTAAGGATCATCCTAGAGGCAGTGGTAGCGCATTTCAACTTGCAGCATGTACCTTTTTTTGTGTGTGAAGGTGCACGCGATTCGTTACCATTGAACTTGATCTTGGATATGGGTTAACTGACTTCGCCCAGCACACAGGAAACGTGGCCTCTCTGTTACACATATTGACCGTAACTATGTACACATGACAACGAAGTGACGGCGCCGCACTCTGTTATCTGCTAACATTACTACACAGTGAGCCACAATCATGCGCATGAAGGAAGTGGCTGAAAGGGAGATTACATTTCATCATGCCCGCTCAAGGTCATGACACACTCTGACGTAACTTCCCCTGTGTGGTCAATCTCTGTGTAGCTTTCAGCGTGCATGCAACGAACTGCTCCTCTCGTTCTTGATGTATTCAAGGAAATTTAGTGGCTACCTTTGTGAAACAATCATCTCCGATACTAAAGTCATTGGATGACTACTTGGGAAAGTGCTTCACGACAACTTCAAAATTTGATTTAGAATGCCTGAAATTGTGTGATTGTGATTTCTGAGGAAATGAGTACACAATGTTGATTGATTGACTGGTATGTGGGGTTGAACGTCTCAAAATCACCATATGATTATGAGAGACACCGTTGAGGAGGGCTTCCAAAATTTCGACCACTTGGGGTTTTTTAACGTGCACCCAAATCTAAGCTTACAGGCCTACAGCATTTTCGCCTTAATCAAAATGTAGCCGTCGCAGCCAGGATTCGATCCAGCGACCTGTGGGTCAGCAGCTGAGTACCTTAGCCACTAGACCACCATGGCGGGACAAGTACACAATATTGTGACGTACAACTTTGTAATGTAAACAATTGCCCCTGTGGAATCATTAAAAAATTGAATCAGCGAGCCTTTTACTGCATTAGTTGACAGTCTTTTGTCTGCTGCAGCAAGGTAAGTCTGTCTCGACTTAAAGCTTGTGTGTGAAAGCGATGTGTACCAACTACTATCGTAAGGTTTTTATTAAACTGTACTTTAAAAAAAATCCCCATGTTTATGTGCACACATCATGAACGTAAAAAAATGTTTGAAAGTGAGCATACTACAGAGATCTTTTATTTGATAATTTATGTGTGTCACTTTTTAGATATAAACACAGTCATGCGCGTGAGATGCATAAGCGTGCTCACGGGGGCGGCCACCGCCTCCCACCCAGTCACCTGGTGCAAAATCCACTTTTATTTATTTGAGGAAAGGGGAGGCGCTGCCACGAGCCTTTACCCCCCCTCGACAGATGGGGAAACCTAGGCATGCCTGGGTGTGTTGTGCGTGTGTGTGTGTGTATGTGTGTGTGCACATGGGTGTGCATACATGTGCACTGCCGGCCTCTAAACCAGTCAAAAGTGCCTTAAACCACAAATATAAATCAATTCACTCTAAGGTTAAAATTTAGTTGTGGTGCTGCAGTTGGGCATGAGTCTTCAACAAATGCCTAACCATGAAATTTTTTTAAAACTAAGCTGTAATACTGGAGTTATATACACTTTTTGGGATCCAAATGGCACCCTCGTTCAGTGCTTCACTGCTTCCTTCCATTAATTGGCTCATCTATCCTTTTGGCCAACTGCTCGTCCTCACCGTGCAAGGCAGAAGAGCAATGAGCATGTGTGCCTGTGAGCAAACAGGTTCGTTTTGTGAACGACATGACTAGACGTGGATAATAATGTCATGACCAGCGCCAACAATGCAGAAGAGCCCACGGAGACAACAAAGATTGTTAGTCGTAGTTTGTAGCGTGCCTGCGGGTCATAGCACTGCCGCATTTGGGATTGTTGATCATGACAGCATCCTGACCTCGATGCGTGCGCCTACTCGATCGAAATGTTAAAAAATGAACGAAGCTGGTTTGAGGCCCTTTAACGCTCTGTATATTATAAAAAATATATGTGTGCAAAGAAGGCAAGTTCTTTTAAGCACTGTGCATTCTTAATTAGCTGAGGACACTTCTTAAAGGAGCTCTGCTACACTTCTTAAGCATGGTCAGAAAACATTGCTGATCGGTAGTAGAGGCTCCAACCTAGACGCAAGCCAAACATTATAGTGCAGCATGCGGCCTGGAATTCACAATATGTGATTAAAGTCGGCTAAAAACTGCTTTCCCATTTCTTGACACAAAACAGAAGATGCTCAAAAATCACTCGTAGAAAGCTCATCCATCAGCCATTAGCTAACTTGAACATGGCACACTCGGTAGTTACAGAGATCACCACGGAAGGCCGCGACTTGTGTGCATGCAATCACTCTGGAAAAGCCGCACATTAGAAGAAAAAAAAAAAAGTGCTCAAGGTTACGAAACGCGGATGATGTATTTTCTTTTCCCCTGCCATCTCTCTCTGGTTAGCTTCCAGCGCTTTTGTCGGGACGAGAAAAGAGAGAATTCAATTGCAGCATGCCACAAATCTTTGTAACTTCACTTGCACTGGACGGAATCTTAAAATTTTCGCGGCATTGAATTCGTAAGGCAATAAGCTCTTCCAGTGAATTCATTACGTGGTTACTTGAAAAAGTGTTTTTTTTTTAGGGCTCCTTCAATGTCTAAATTTTGAAAGGGGTACTGACGTCTTTTTTCAAAGCCGAGTTTACTCTGCCATAAAAGTCTCCTGTATACAGAGACAGCTCTGAGCAAATTTGACACTCAGCAAATGCTGATCAGATATCGTATTTTGATATTGAAATCAAATTTTTATGGCACACCTACCGACAGCAACACTAACTTGATATTGGGCTACAGTACTAATCCTGGCGACTTCACGCAGCAGTTTGGCAAGTTGTGAGGACTTCAAGTGCCAAAACAAAAAAAAAATGGCAGCTTGCGAATTGCCTATTCGATCATGACGCTCGTGCCGTGTGGTTACTGTCATCTAGGGTACTTGTGAAGAGAGCTAGCAGAGTCTGGAATAGTGTACGTGCATTCGAATACATACAAGGTATAGGCTTATCACAAAGCAAAGGAATCGTTTGTTTTCAAATTTGTTGTCGTGGAGCCAATATTTTGCCCTGTGAAGTCTTGCGCCAGTGAAACTGGGGACGATAGGTGCAAGTTCCACTGAATCTTGTCCGATACGGCACTGAGATAAGCGTGGATCGACTTGGTGCACCATAGCTGAGGCAGAGACTGGACGCCAATAAAGCGGAGTTTACTCTGTTCACTGCACTTCAATCCGGACGCTTACATGCACAACATGCAGCTGCTGACTGACTTCGGATTGTCGATGAAGAACCTGCACCTTAAAAGTGATGCCATCCCAACGTCTTGCCCCCCGGCCGCGACAGTTGCCAGATGTGTGGCGTGCAGCAGATGAAGCAGACCATCGAAGAAGCGACGCACGGACAAGAATACGTCATGAAAACTTGCGCATGCACACATTACCGCCTGGTGGTGCTGCTCATAGCACGTTGTGATGTCAGGGTACAGTATGAACCGAAATTAGCTATTAAAAGCATGCTATAATTAATTTTTCAGGGTACACTCACACTTACTGGTACATTGCCTACGTGCTCGGAAACTTGAGGCCTATTATCTGACGAAAAAAAAAACAGGTGAAATATTTCGTGTCAGTACCCTTTGAAGATCCCCTTTTCATGCAATTACTGCAGATTTTTTTTAGTGCATACATCATTTCTTCCTTATTTTCTGCCGTGTGCTTCCCTCTTTTTATCATTCTCTCTAAATTTTTCACATACTTCTCATTTGTTTGTTTGCTGTACTAGCTCAATCTTTTCCGTGCTTCCTTCTGACACTTAATTCTGCTCACATGAATGTTCCTACTTTACAGTGTCACATTGTATGGAATAAGTCATTTCCAAGGCATGCTTACATTCAAGAGCGATAGGTGTGTTTAGATGTTCTAACCTATCTCTCCCATGTTTGTATACACAGTGCTAACATATGTCATCTGACGAACTCATGAACTTCTCATTCGTAGCCGTTACTGTGCCATATTACAATGCCCATTGGGACGTTAAGAAAGTTATATTAGTTTATGATTGTTAATCGTGAGTGTACATGGAGCCATCATCACTGATCACTATATCAAAGTGAGCCCCCTCTCCACAACCCCTTTGCAATGAAAAATCTTGCATCCACACCTGGTCTAAAGGTACGTTCTCGTGCTTTTCTAGGTGAGAGTGGCTCTGGGAAGACGGAAGCCTCCAAGATTATTATGAGGTATATAGCAGCTATCACAAATGTCACAGGCCAGCAGGAAATCGAAAGGTGGGTGCATGTTTCGATTACGTATCAGGCTTCGCACTGTAAACATACTTTAAAACTTTTTTCGGTGTCTAATGAACAAGAAGAGAAACTGAATGGCCCACTTTATGTTAATTATTGTCACGTGAAGTCAACAGGGATTACGTATGATGCTCTTAATGAATGGGTTGTCCTGACAACATTTCGCACTATGCATTATTTGTAGGTATCTATGCAGATGCGTAGAATATGTAACTTCGGAGCTCTGCATTCAGTACCATGCATGCACTTGCTTATGACATCTTAGTAAATGCTTCCTTTAGTTTGTGTTTGTTTGTTTGTGCTATTTACTTATATATTTACTAGAAGCACGTTTATAAGATGTGCATTGAAGTGTGTCATTGCTTCCAATTAGGCTCAAATACATATCTCTTTTGTAAGAATGTAAAAAAGTGCTACTTATTGACAATGGATTTAACAGAGGGCCGTATCGAGGAGTTTTTCGTAGGAGTGTTAATGTGTAGAATGGTAAACCTTGGTGAATGGTGGTCGATGAGAATGTGTGTAAATAATTTAGCATCTCCTGAAAAGTTCAAGCATGAAAGAAATTTTCGGGGGAACTCTTTTCACTCCCCCTAGTTATGGCTCTGACTTAGCATGCACCTTTCCATGGCTTTTTGAACACCATTCTGTAGCAAATGTATGCCTGCTAAATGTGAGATAGTCTATCCTACCTTCAGTTGCTAACATGTTGATATAGTATTTTGTATTCAATAAATGTCAAAGGGGGCGGCAGGGGGGCAGTCGCAATTAATATTAAGGTTATGCCAAGGGCTTGGAAGTGATAATTAGTGCATAAGGTGAATACAGCATGAATCATGTGAATTGATGATTATTGAAGATGGATGAAAAGGGAATTATAGCAAAAATATGTAATGTTATGCATGTTAGCAAACTGCGAAGTAATAGTAAACCAATTGTCAAAGACTATTAAAATGGGTCAAATGTGAATCAAGGTTGCAATGGCATGTGTGTGAATTACAGTAAATTCAAGGTGTATCAGACGAGAAATAACAATGAGTAAAATGCTTCAATGAAATTGAATAAAGGGTAACTTGACGATTGAGAGCTTAGGCAAGCACCTATGCTTAACGCTAGTTAAAGAGCCTGCAAACATTTTTCAACAGGGTCAAGAACATCTTGTTACAGTCCAATTGCATCCTTGAGGCATTTGGTAATGCCAAAACCAATCGCAATGACAACTCGAGTCGCTTCGGAAAGTACATGGACATCAACTTTGACTTCAAGGGAGACCCTCTGGGAGGACACATCAACAACTACCTCTTGGAAAAGGTATGCTGTTCTTTTTTCCAGTACTATCAATTGTCACATACACGCTTTTAAAATGACTCAGGCACCATGTACACTGTTAGACGCATGGAAATCTAAGGTGGTGCTGAATCCTGTGTATTAGCCAGGAAGAGAAGCAGGTACAGACGGAATCACTCTTGTCTAGAGTGCCCTGCCGGCTGTTTCAGCTGCTTTTTTCTGCAGATATATGATAAGACTGTTAAAATGATGCCTAACATAGTCATACCGCATGCTAGGTTCTTGTGCTATGATTCAAGCATGAACGGAAGCTTGTAGCTAACGTGAAGTAGCAGCCGCAGACAACAACAGTGTCCACAGCCACACGCTCTGCTGCTCTAGAAAAATGTGATTCCGTCTGTACATGATGCTTCACATGTCGCAACTGGCAATTACCTTCATATCTTTGATGCTTTGTTTTCCAGCTGCACAAAGCTACAGATTAATGTCAATGGATACTATTTTTTTTTGCTATTGATTATACGACTTCTCTATAACTAAATGGAGGGGTTTTTGAATATTTTCATATCTTAAAACTGATGAAATGACAGGTAGGCACATCTTAAGTTACCTTTAGAATTTGTGCTAAGTGCTAGTAGAATTGACATTTTTTTTCTTTTTCTCCCTTTTGATGTTTGGTTAGTCCCGAGTGATTTACCAGCAACCTGGTGAGCGAAACTTCCATGCCTTCTATGAGCTACTGTACGGCGCACCCGATTCACAGTTGTCTTCCTACGGCCTCAAGCACGAGCCACAGCTGTACTTTTACACTCGACAGGGAGGCTCACCCAAGGTACGTGTGTACAGGTTGGTTTATGAACACTGTGAGTTGGAGTTTTCCTCTTGCTAAGGCGGTGCTAACACACATAGTCTAGCTGTAAAAAGAGGCCAAGTTGAATCATGGCTGACATCTCTTCAGCTTTTTTTTTATTAAATGCATGCTCAAGGTTGGTCGTGGCTGACCTAGTAAGAAAATGACATGCATGCATGTCATTTTCTTCATCCTTCTAGTGGCCGATGTTGATGACACAAGGCTACCTATGTAGTACTCTCGGGCCCACACAAGGTGCTTATAGTATTGGCTTTCATGCCATAGTTACTAAAGAGAATCTGGCACCAGCATTTACATAAGCTTATGGTTATACAGCACTTCCAACAATATGCAAATGATAGACTAGAGCTTTTCTCTTAACTTCATTTTTGTTCTCTCTTTGAACAACCTTAGGAAAACACATCACCCTACTACTAATAGCGTTGCTATCAAGTTTGTCTTGTATGGAAATGACTAGGAAGGATTCTGGCACTTAAGTCTTCTGTGGTCTCAACGGTATGAGTCATTAGAGAAAGCTGTATTTCAAAAAGGAAACAAGGGGAGAAAACAACAAAAGCTGACGTGAAATAGCTGAGCGTTCCTTCAGTCATTGACATATATGCCATTTCAATGCAGTTTTTCATCTAGCACCATAACATGTGCCTTTTTCTAAATTGCATAGCAATGAGATACGTTGAATACTTGTTTACTTTCTAACTTTTTATCTTAAAACAATGTTGCTGTAACTTGTTTTAATATTATTTAATATAAAATTGCATTATGTTATTGAAATCTACTAACTGACCTATGTTATAATTTTTATCGTCCTGCTGTTTTTAGTACAGTGGAATTTAAGTACAAACAAATGTAGAATGCTCCAAAGTGTCTGAAACTGATTTTCATTTGTCGCTGCTCAAGAAGCTGAGAAAATTAAACACATATTGCCTGATTGCGTATCATAATTTATGACAGATTGCCAAAATGTGAGAACGATCTGCTGACATTTTGTGACTAGCACATTGGCACATATTTTTTGACCTGTGTATTCTTATTGCTTGAAAGAGTGTACTTATCACACAAAAATTTAACATTTGTTGGCACCATACTACTTTTATCTTGCAGCACAATACCATTTTTACATTCATTCTGAACAATGCTGCTCTTGCTCCACATAATTATAGGTGGAGACCATCAATGACCGGGCTGACTTCAAGCAAGTTTGTTCGGCACTGAAGTTACTTGGATTTGCGCAAGCTGAGTGTGATTCACTGTGGAAGGTTGTGGCAGCCATCGTGCACTTGGTAAGCTTGAATTAAACTTAAAGCCTGGTATCTCGAGGAGAGCGGCCTGGGCTTGTTCGCACATAACGTACGTAGACTAAGCGCTCACTTAGATGGGGATAGAGTGCTTCTTTCATCTTGCTATATGTCTGCACTTGTCCATTCAACTTGGAAATTGTTGCCATGTGGCTATTTGGCACTCCTATTGTGCAACTTGCCCTTGTTGCCCAGTGTGTAAAAATATATATATTGTGGGCATTTAGTATACCAATCCTCTTCATCTGTACATTACCATCATTATCATGTGTTGCTCATGCATCCTCATCGTTGTCACGTATCATCATCATCTTGGTCCGTTCATCTCAGCTGTCGGCTGCCGGTTCTTCGGGCCTAATAAAGGTCTTTCAAACCAAGACTTCATACGTGGTGGAGCGTGCTGTTGGATCCCCCGTCATCCTCTCGACCACTCTACCCCCTGGAGCTACGTTCAGGTCGCCGCTTAGGCCAGGTGTCCGGAAATATGTCGCACCAAGAAGAGGTCGGTGCTGCAGCCGTTCCCACTCCGCCACGGCGTGCCGCACCTTTTCACGTCATTAACAGCCTCCAGCGTGAGCCCCATCCCTTCGCTGGTATGCGCGGGGAAGATGTGGAGGAATGGCTGGACGATTTCGAACGTGAAGGTACACGCGAAACTAGGCGCTTGAAGATATATTTACACAGCGCCAACGTGCAAGCCAAGACGATGCAGCTGGTTTTTCATCTTTCTATCTCGTGTTTGGCCGTGATCCAACTTTACCGTTTGACACCATCTTTCCGACAGCCGTCGACTCAACGACCGAATACGCCCGCGATGCCATCACCAGAGCTCAAAAAGCACGACAAGTTGCCCATCAGCACCTTTTAGCATCGCAAGATCAGCAGTGGCAGTGTTACAAGTTCCATTATCGCCAAGTTTCCTTTAATCCGGGTTCTCTTGTGCTATTGTAGACTCTGACCAGGTGCGTTGGACTTTCTGAAAAACTGCTTTCCCCCTACTCGGGACCCTACCACGTATTGCACCAGGTGACAGATGTGACCTACGAGATAGCCCCGTTCGTGTCTTCCTCCTCCTCCCCTTCACTGTCCAGACATTGTTCATGTATCTCGCCTTAAGCATTATCACTTGCCAACATCATAGAAAGCATCGAGACGGTGCTTCAGCACTCGGGGGTTATGTTGTGAGACAATGTCCCACAAAAGCGGTTAGATAGGCGCGGAGAAAGACGACGTGATTTTGGTACAGCACTCGTTCTCCATATTGACTTGCGCGTTGGTGCTGTGTAAATATTTCTTCAAGCGCCTAGTTTCGCGTGTACCTTCACGTGACAATATATATATATATTGGTGAAGCTCGCACTACGCCACGCAAGTATAAAACAGAGAAATTAGATGATTCTGGTTCCTTCCAGGTCATTTCTAGTCCTTAGCTATGTGATGCAGCCTGTTTCTATGCTGATTTTCAGTGCAGGGAGGTTTGAGTTAAATCACACACATTCACAGGCATGACACGATTGTCCAAACTCTAGAAACAGAAGCTTGCACTGAAACCAAGTGTTCGCACCTTTCATTGATCAACGGGCTGGTTGTCATCGGCGTAGGCCCTCCATCACTTCAGGGCAAACGTGTGGCCAGGGAGTGGTCCCCACTTCAAATAAAAAAGTGCCCCACCCCCTCCCATGAAAACAATGTCTGCCTATGTCCCTGCTTCAGGGTCTTTTCAGAGCCACCATAGCTTTTCCTGCTCCCTAGTATCCTCTCATATGCACTCGGAGTCTTCCACTCGCTGCCGTCCTTGTTCTTGTTCACCTATTGCTCTTGGTGCATACCCACTGGGGGGGATTGGCCAACAATATAGTGGTTTTATAAAATAATGTGTGGTTTTAGACTAATGGAGATTTTATAATAGAAAGGTTATCAATGACCTAGGACATTGTGGTGCTTGATCTAATGCATATACTTATTTAAATAAAGAAAGAAATTTATTCTCAAAATAGAGCAATACTCAAATTTTTATGTGTATATAATCTTGTAGACATGTTAGAATAATAATATAGATTAATTAATCAACCTATTAGTTTCATTAATGTAGTCTCGGACGGCCACGCATATTGTCGCACTAGCGAACCCAGAAATGGTTGATTGGTCGCCAATTTGTTGGGCTCAACTTTGCCTTCCTCATTTTTAGTGAAATAGAGGTGAGTGGTAGGATATATCTAATGTTTGCTAAACAGCTGTGCCGTTAAGAGAGAAGATCACTGTGCCCTTTCAGACCAACTAAGCCACGCTCGTCAGTTTTTGCATTTTTGTATATCCATTCGGACGACATTCCCAAGAAGCATGCTGTACTTAAAGGACCCCTGACACTAAATTTGGAAGCTTGAGATGCTTGTGTTTGAGAGTCTTCCATGCAGAGGGTACTTCTGACAAATTATTGATGACGAGTGTAGCCTAGAAGATATTTTAATTTGGTTTTAAAGTAAAGGTGCGTGCTGATCCAATTATTCAGGTGCAATCGACATTTTCTGTGGTTTGACCTGGCAAGGGGTCCCCTCAGAGCGTTGCAAAGGTAAAGCAGGTATTGTTGGCATCGAAGTATGCTTGAATATCCCAACTGGCACTTGGCGAGGACTATTGTTTGTCACCCCTCTCACTAGCTTGTAGGGTTGGTCTCAAGGTGGTTTTGGCAGCTTAAGCCAAGAATGCTTTTCTTTTTTTTTAAGGGAGAAATGTTTAAAGCATCCACATTATTTGATTCTTCACTTTCGCGGGTCCCCCTATTTGAAACAGCACATTCAGAATCACCGAAGATTGAGTGCACATATTGTCACGGGGTCGTGACGTTGCCAAAGACAGAAAACTTCGTGTTGGGATTTAACTGTTTATTTGGGCGAACCTGTGCCCGGTAAAGGGAAAGTCTAATTACAGCAGCAGTCTTGCACAGATAGCAGTCTCGGACTGATAGCGGCGAACGCAGCGTCGGCCTTCGATCAACAACTGACAAGCGGCGAAGCGCGTCGGCATTTATACCCTTGCCGTCGAATGTTCTAGCGTTATCGCTGGCGGTGGCGTAGGTTCCAGAACAATCTGTTCCGTTCGCACAGTGGGCGTGATCTTATCGAAATGATCTACTACAGTCCGGAACCTTCTAGAAACCTGCAGGCGCGGTTTGCGCCGAGAATCGTGTGGTGTTTCGGAACGATAACAAAAACTTGTGAAATGGAACGTGGCATTGCCCCCCTCTGAAAAAAGGCATCGTCCCGATGCTTTAACTAAAAATTAAGGTACAATAATAATAATGCAAGAAAGTACAATGAATAAATTACAATACAACAGTAATACAAAAAAAAACACTGTTTCAGTTTGTTAACGTGCATGAAACGGCTTGAGGCGCGCGACATGGACGACTTCTGGTCGCGATCGGCGTCGTTGAGAGTTCGTGATGCCGTCGGGGACAACCTCGTAATCAAGTGGACCGAGACGTCGAACCACCTTGTATGGTCCGAAGTACCGTCGCAGAAGCTTTTCACTTAGTCCCCGTCGGCGTATCGGCGTCCACACCCAAACACGTTCACCGGGCTGGTATTCCACGAAGCGTCTTCGAAGGTTGTAACGGTGGCTGTCGGTCGTCTGTTGATTCTTGATACGAAGACGTGCAAGTTGTCGGGCTTCTTCGGCGCGTTGAAGGTACTCGCTCACATCGAGGTTTTCTTCGTCGGTGACGTTGGGTAACATGGCATCGAGCGTCGTTGCCGGGCTCCTTCCGTAGACCAATTTGTATGGAGATATCTGCGTCGTCTCCTGCACCGCCGTGTTGTATGCGAAGGTCACATACGGAAGAATGGTGTCCCACGTCTTGTGTTCGACATCGACGTACATTGACAGCATGTCGGCGATCGTCTTGTTAAGCCGCTCGGTGAGGCCGTTGGTCTGTGGGTGGTACGCTGTCGTCCGGCGGTGGTTTGTTTGGCTGTATGCCAAGATCGCTTGAGTTAAGTCGGCAGTGAATGCCGTTCCTCTGTCGGTGATAAGGACCTCCGGGGCGCCGTGACGTAGGACGATATTTTCGACGAAAAACTTAGCTACCTCGGATGCACTGCCTTTTGGCAGGGCTTTTGTCTCGGCGTAGCGGGTGAGGTAGTCGGTAGCTACCACGATCCACTTGTTTCCGAAAGCCGACGTCGGGAACGGCCCCAGTAGGTCCATACCAATCTGCTGGAAAGGTCGGCAAGGTGGATCAATTGGCTGCAGAAGTCCCGCTGGCCTTGTCGGCGGTGTCTTGCGTCGCTGACAGTCCCGGCATGTCTTCACATAACGAGTGACGTCGGTGGTAAGACGTGGCCAGTAGTACCTTTCTTGTATCCTCGCGAGCGTGCGGGAAACACCGAGGTGCCCTGCCGTCGGATCGTCGTGCAGGGCCTGCAGGAGTTCTGGTCGCAGAGCTGAAGGCACCACAAGGAGGTACTGAGCTCGAAGCGGTGAAAAGTTTTTCTTTTGTAGAAGACCGTTTCGTAGAAAGAACGACGCAAGTGTGCGCTTGAATACCTTCGGGACTTCGGTGGTCCTGCCTTCGAGGTATTCTATTAGGGCTTTAAGTTCCGGGTCGGCCCGCTGTCGTTCAGCGAAGTCGTCGGTAGTTATCGTTTCCAAGAAGTAGTCGTCATCCGAGTCGTCGGGTAGCGGTCGGTCGACAGGCTCACGAGAGAGACAGTCAGCGTCGGAGTGTTTTTTGCCGGACTTGTAAATGACAGTAATGTCATATTCTTGAAGTCTCAGGCTCCATCGTGCGAGGCAACCTGAAGGGTCCTTCAAGGTGGCTAGCCAACACAAGGCGTGGTGGTCGCTCACAACTTTGAAGGGCCTGCCGTAGAGGTAGGGGCGAAATTTCGACGTAGCCCAGATGATGGCGAGGCACTCCTTTTCTGTTGTGGAATAATTTGCTTCTGCTTTGGATAGTGATCGGCTGGCGTAACTAATAACCCTTTCAAGTCCGTCAGCCCTCTGCACAAGAACGGCGCCAAGACCTACGCTGCTTGCGTCAGTATGTATTTCTGTCTCGGCGAATTTGTCGAAATGGGCAAGTAACGGAGGCGTCTGGAGGCGATGTTTAAGCTCCTGGAAAGCGTGTTCCTGTGGCGTTTCCCACTTGAACTCCGAGTCGGCCTTGGTAAGGTTAGTGAGAGGATCGGCGATGCGGGCGAAGTTTTTCACGAACCGCCTATAATAGGCGCACAGGCCCAGAAATCGGCGCACGGCCTTCTTGTCAGTGGGCGGCGGGAAATCGGCGATGGCGGCTGTTTTCCGTGGATCGGGACGAACTCCAGACTTGCTGATAACGTGCCCAAGAAACAAGAGCTCCTCATACGCAAATCTGCACTTTTCTGGCTTCAGTGTGAGTCCGGACGTCTTGATGGCTTGAAGTACAGCTTCAAGGCGCCGAAGATGCTCGTCGAAACTCGAGGAAAACACGACGACGTCGTCCAAATACACAAGGCAAGTCTGCCACTTCAATCCTGCCAGTACTGTATCCATAACGCGTTGAAAAGTTGCAGGCGCTGAGCAAAGGCCGAAGGGCATCACCTTAAACTCGAAGAGGCCATCCGGTGTTATAAACGCCGTCTTCTCTCGGTCTCTTTCGTCGACTTCGATTTGCCAATAGCCAGTCTTGAGGTCCATTGACGAGAAGTACTTGGCGTTATGGAGCCGATCAAGGGCGTCGTCTATTCGTGGGAGAGGATACACGTCCTTTCTTGTGATTTTGTTCAGGCGGCGATAATCGACGCAGAAACGTAGGGTCCCATCCTTTTTCTTCACTAACACCACGGGGGATGCCCACGGACTCTTGGACGGCTGGTGGATAATGTCATCTCGCAGCATTTCATCAACTTGTCTCTTCATTGCCTCACGTTCTCGCGTCGAAACCCTGTACGGACTCTGACGGAGTGGTCTGGCATTTTCTTCGGTTATGATTCGATGTTTCGTGATTGGTGTCTGCCGAATTTTCGATGACGACGAAAAGCAATCTTCGTATTGAAGGAGCAGGGCCTTGAGCTGTTCTTGCTTATCATTCGGAAGTCTGGGATTGACGTCGAAAGCTATGGAAGGGGCTTGGTTCCTCTGAGCGGTTCCGCAGAATCGGCGAGGGCGAAAGCACTGGTGGCTTCGACAATTTCTTCGATGTATGCGACCGTTGTTCCTTTGTTCACATGTTTGTACTCATTGCTGAAATTCGTGAGCATAACCGTTGCTTTGCCTCCCCGCAGCTCTGCAATTCCTCTTGCGACGCAAATATTTCGGGTGACCAACAGATGCTGACTGCCTTCAACGACGCCTTCCAAGTCAGGTGATTTAGGAGCGCCGACTGAAATAATGACGCTTGAGCGAGGCAGAATGGTGACTTGTTCTTCCAGCACATTCAAGGCATGGTGTCCTGACGGCGTGTGCGGCGGTAGTGCTTCTTCTGTGGATAACGTTATCGACCTTGTTTTTAGGTTGATGACAGCACCATGGAGGCATAAGAAGTCCATGCCAAGGATGACATCTCTCGAGCAATGCTGTAGGACTACTAAGTCTGTTGGATAAATACGGCCGTTAATAGTGACTCTCGCTGTGCAGATTCCTGCAGGCGTTACGAGATGACCTCCAGCTGTGCGGATTTCAGGGCCTTTCCAAGCTGTCCTAACTTTCTTTAACTTCGCGGCGAACGACCCACTGATGACAGAATAGTCGGCTCCAGTATCGACGAGAGCAGTCACACTGTGGCCGTCGATAAGAACGTCGAGGTCGCTAGTTCGCCGTCTCGCATTACAGTTAGGGTGTGGCGTCGGGTCACGGCTGCGTCGGCTTGTTCCGCTGCTTCCATGTTGCGTCGTCCGGCCACCTTCGGTAAGTGAGCTTTTGCCTTCAGGGCTTTTCCTGGTTGGGGTTGTGTTCAAAAAGCTCCGTCGCGTCGGCGTCGGTGTCTTCTCCGCGAAGGGGGCTGGGTTCACGGCTTGACGGGGGCGTTCGGTACATGAACGAAGCAGCACCGCCACCAGATGTCACGGGGTCGTGACGTTGCCAAAGACAGAAAACTTCGTGTTGGGATTTAACTGTTTATTTGGGCGAACCTGTGCCCGGTAAAGGGAAAGTCTAATTACAGCAGCAGTCTTGCACAGATAGCAGTCTCGGACTGATAGCGGCGAACGCAGCGTCGGCCTTCGATCAACAACTGACAAGTGGCGAAGCGCGTCGGCATTTATACCCTTGCCGTCGAATGTGCTAGCGTTATCGCTGGCGGTGGCGTAGGTTCCAGAACAATCTGTTCCGTTCGCACAGTGGGCGTGATCTTATCGAAATGATCTACTACAGTCCGGAACCTTCTAGAAACCTGCAGGCGCGGTTTGCGCCGAGAATCGTGTGGTGTTTCGGAACGATAACAAAAACTTGTGAAATGGAACGTGGCAATATATATATACTCAGACACTGCCCCGTTGTGGGGCGCTAGTTTCTTATGGTACTTAGGTGGCGTTTTTAAGTGATGCAAAATCATTTGGAATTAATAATCATAGCATAAATGATACAATGGGTTAGAGCATTTACTATTCAATTTTGGCATTACCATTCGCAAAGCTGCAACAAATCGCTGTAAAAAGGTCGCAAGCATAACTTTCACTGTCAGGGGTCCTTTAAAACCAAACGTGTTGGTCCTGGATTCAACGCGCAGACCAGAACGAATTTTCCTCCAACTAGGAAGCCTCCTTTCTGAGAAACCTGCATTGGGTTACCAACTCCTTAAAGGGTACTTGCAACGCTTTTACACGTAGTCATCAAACAGCTTCATTAAAGGAGCCTATTGCCTCATGAATCGACTGCTGCAGATATTTCAGAATCAGTCAAGTATAAGCAAAGTTATGGAGATTTACTGCAAGCTGTAATTGCATTTTCTTTTCTACTGTTCGGACAAGCCCACTGAAAGCATAGCAGGGAAGGATGGCATGGGCGAAAGAAGTTACATCACGTGAGCGTCATGACCTTCAGCAAATTTTTATTGGCGAAGCTCCTCTTAGTTTAACCTTGTCCTGCATCAGGCATAACCAGCAGCATCAGTCAGACAGCCAGAAAAACAGATAGACAGACAGACAGATGGACAGATGAACTCGCGGATAGATGGACGGACGGAAGCATGGGTGGAAGCATGGACAGATGGATAGACTGATTCATGAACGGACGAATGCACGGACAGACAGACGGATGGACACTTCGCCCCACTCATCATCATTCACTCTGTCGATATGCTGCGATTTTTTCTTCCTTTTTTTTCCGATATACTGTTAACCTTCAGTGCGGCCCCGCCACGGTGGTCTAGTGGCTAAGGTACTCGGCTGCTGACCCGCAGGGCGCGGGTTCGAATCCCGGCTGCGGCGGCTGCATTTCCGATGGAGGCGGAAATGTTGTAGGCCCGTGTGCTCAGATTTGGGTGCACGTTAAAGAACCCCAGGTGGTCTAAATTTCCGGAGCCCTCCACTACGGCGTCTCTCATAATGATATAGTGGTTTTGGGACATAAACCCCACATATCAATCAAACCTTCAGTGCGAACGTGCATGTGTGGGCATTTGGCAGCATTCCGCATTGACCATGGTAACCATGCAGCTCATAATGGTCATATTTGCCAATGGCTGTGAATTCGGGTATATGGCATCATTTCTAGGAAGAGCAAGCAATTCATAGCTAACTGAGAAATATTCGTAAACTCTAGGCGACATGCTGCACTATATTGTGTGGCTTGCATGTTCTCTGGAGCCGATTGGCAGCATTTTCCAACCATGCTGAAAAAGTGTTGCAGAGCTCTATAAGTATGAATTACTAACTTACAGAGACAACGAGGGAGCCACCGCAGTCAAACTTTATTTTACAGACCAGTCATGCTGTCAACAACATGCTGTCATGCTGTCCAGTCAACAGTTGTGGGGAGGGTCAGCTCGACAGACTAGCATGTTTTGATCTATCACAACGTGAGTTTCGCCGAGCATGTCATCTTTGCGAGCGGCACTGGCTAACACGTACTGCCAGGTTCACTGTTGACCCAAAAACATGAATACTCAATAAAGTGGATGGGAAAGTGACTGCCCCTGTGGCTCAATTAGTAGAGCATTGGACATGTTATCCGAAGGTTGTAGGTTCAGTCGCTACCCACAGCAAGTTGATTTTTCATCCTCTTTAATTCCTTTCCATTTATGTGATAGTTACTATACTACAGCAGAAACATCTGTGCACGCTAAAAAAATGGTCAAAACTTCCAGAGCCCTCCACTACTCTCATCATGTACTAATTTTGGGACATAAAACCCCACATATTATTATTACAACAGAAACATATACAAGTAATGCGCTAGCTTATACTTTTTTCCAGCTTCATTATCTGTTGGTTTCATTAGGTTGTGTCTAACAAAAGAGAAGAGCCTTGGATCATAGTTTATACCTTTTTCAGCTTCATTATCTCTTGGTTTCATTAGGTTTTGTCTAACAAAAAAGAAGAGCCTTTGATCAATCTCCCCCTCTTTCATTGACCGATTGTGTGCTCTAGTGTCTCTGTTGGCAGGATGGCAGTTTGGCCTGGAATAAGAAGTGTGGCCAGGTCGTCATGCGTAACCTGTAACGAAAACGAGTTTGCACTGAAATGCCTTGTTTTCCAGGGGGAAGTGTCTTTTGTGGTTGAGGAGGACCAAGCCAAGATCAAAGGCAGCCTGAAGCAACTCAGCCAGCTCCTCTCTGTGTCCGAGAAGGATTTGAGCCAGGCTTTGTGCCACAGGGTCATCGCAGCTGGTGGAGAGGTTATGCAAAAGGGGCACACGCTCACAGAGGCCATCTACGGGCGAGATGCCTTTGCCAAGGTGAGCCTTTATCTACTGGTCTTCTTGCTGGCAACTTCTTAGCCCTTTGTGCGCAAATAGAAGGGCAGCTTACTCAAACTAAATGTGGCAGATTCAATTTCTGCCTTTTTTTGTGTTTGTCAATGTAAAGATGTATTACTGCGATTCAAAGTTTCTCTAAATTAATTTGGATTACATACCAGTTTAGCTACCAGTAATGAAGTAATTAAACGTAACACTACTGGTGCTTTTGTAAAACTGGAATGCTTGTCTAGGAATGTAAGGTGATTGCATTATTTTTCTGATGAAGCCTGCTTAATGTTTTTTGTTGACCAACAGTAACTTCCCCACTTAAAATATCTCTGTGATTTCGTGTAATGCTCATACAACTCGAGTTAATTATTTGCAATTTTAAACACAACTCAAGCTATTTTTTCATTTAGTATCCATCTAAACTCTTCTAATATCTTATTGAGCCGTAAGTCAATGTTATTGCAATGCTTATTGGTCCATAGCACAGTGATATCATTAGTATCATGGCATGAAAGACCTTTTGACAAACTTTGGCAAGTGTTTCATAAGAGTTTTTGTTTGGAAAGTAACTTCTCTTGCTTTTGAAGTGCCTTAAATGTACATAATATACTGCAGGATCTTTCTAGTATAGCTGCTCAACTTGACCTCTTCTGTTTAATTATTGGTGTGACATTTCATTGATCTATCGATTGACTGATTGGTTGGAAACAGGCCATCTACGAGCGCATGTTCTCCTGGATTGTGGGTCGAGTGAACAAAGCCATCGAGGTACATACAGACAGCGTGCTGGGTCGCAAGAATACCGTCATTGGTGTCCTCGACATCTATGGATTTGAGATCTTCGACAACAACAGGTGCGACTCAATGGGCTTTCATTTTAGTATTTGTAATTTGTCTCATAAGCACACGCTCTACTTTCTTACCTAATAGATGTTATGTATGAGGAAGTTTATGTGGTTGTGACAAATTCTGTAAGTGCTAAATGACTCCTAGCTTTGATACCGTGATATTCATTTTCATACATATATTCATGATTGTAAACTTGTAAAGCTTCTGTAGAATATTTAGATACAGCCTGCTTATGAACGACAAAATTCCTTCTCCACATTCTGTAACGACTGAACCTTGTTGCAATGACATCACGTTTCATACAAATCATACCTTCATTTTCTAATTTTTTTTACCATTTATTGGTTACTGCCTGAAATTGGCACTAAAGATTTTGGTGCACTTGAACGCCGTTACAAATTAAACCATGCTCAACACAAAATGCCTTTGTCACGTGCATATGTTTTTCACATGTCGATACCCGCGTAAACCATTTTACTCATATATTTTTTTTTGTTTCCTGTCACTACAACTGAGATTAAGTGCACTGATATCATGTCTGATAAAAAAAATACTTCAATTTATTATAAACATCATTTTGTTGTCTGCTAATACCAGTGCGAAATTTTTCAAAATTTTTTGTTTTACGCAACGCTTAGATAGGTTTAGCCTGATTTAGGTGAACACAGGAGATGCACAGAACATTGACGAGCGCCGGCTTTCAACTGAGTTTATTTTGCACTTCTCTAAAATCTGCCTGTATTAACCTACACACAGAAGAGCAAGATAAAAGACGATGAAAATGGAACCCAAGAGCCATAAGCAAAAGAAAAAAGGAAAAGAAAATACATATCATATGCCTACACCAGAAAAAATGTCAAAGATAATACACCCCTTCATTTCACGCATGTCCCAAGGTAGGCATGTGTATTTTCTTTTTTCTTTTGCTTATGGCTCCTATCTTGCTCTTCGGTGTATAGGTCAATACAGGCAGGTTTTGGCGCATAACAAGGCTTGCTGAAGTGCAAAATAAACTCGGTTGAAAGTCAGCACTCGTCTCTGTTCCGTGTGTCTCCTGTCTTCGTCTAAATTATGATAAACCTATCTGAGTAGGTGCCAACTCTTCTAAGTCGAAGTGCTATTGTGCCAACTCACCTACGTCAAAGTGATATTGAAATAGATTTATGCAACAATTTGGTATATTTGGTCATGCACTATATATCATTGTTTGCTATTCAAAGGCACAGCTGTATGTGCACTACTGGCTTGGCTGACATATTGTCTTGACACTTCACCCTGAAAGGTGGTCCCAGCCTGTCTTGACGTTTCATACGGCTTTGTTTACTTCTTGCATGTGCAGTTTCGAACAGTTCTGCATCAACTACTGCAACGAGAAGCTGCAGCAGCTGTTCATCGAGCTGGTCCTGAAGCAGGAGCAGGAAGAGTACCTTCGGGAGGGCATTCAGTGGCAGGACGTACCCTACTTCAACAACAAGATCATCTGCGACCTCGTTGAGGAGCCACACCGCGGAATCATAGCCCTAGCCGACGAGGCCTGCCTTAATGTCGGCAAGGTTACTGATGAGGTGAGTGGTTTGAGCACGAAATTCTTCGCATTCGCCGTTCAGGCAGATTATACAGCTCAGACCGACAGAACAAGACAGTTATTGAAGAAACGAACACTTCAGAGAAATTTTGCAAAAAATAATTGATCCAAGTTGACATGCAAACAACCTCTGCTCGACGTCTCAATGTCATCTCTTGTGTATTTTGGCACCGTTGTACGGCTATATTCCGCTGCTGTGGCAAAATCGTACCTAATACATGTAGCAAGCAGCTAGTTGTTATGGATGCTTTAAAGTGTGCTTTTGTCTTGAAGGTTTGCAAGATCTGCCTCAATGATAAAAGGACAATTAAATTAGATTCAGGAAAATTGTCATGATACATCATAATTTAGTAGACAAAAATATTGTTGTAATAACATCAGTACTACTGCAATGTTTACCATGACTTCTTTGCTTTTTGCAACGCTGACGCTTCATAATTTTTCATCTTATGTACCCTAAATTTGTGAATATATTTTGATACCATTGTGATTCGTTACCATTTCATTTTCAGATGCTGCTAGAGTCACTGGACAAGAAGCTTGCCAACCATAAGCACTACACAAGCAGAAGAGTGAGTTGAACCTTTTGCAGGCATGTTTTTTGACCTGCATGACTACATCGCAAATGGGAAGTAGTCATGAAATAAAAATAGCATTGCTTTAGTGCTATGTGATTAACAGTCTTGCACTGTTCTTAGCAACAAACAAAGGGGAAAGCGATAAAGTTTGCTAAGCTTTCTAAAGGAAAATACAATACGAGGTAGCTTGGTTTAGCTGAGGCAAAAAATGTGTGTCTTGAAAGCGTAAAGGCAGGGAGTAGATTGGCCTTTATTGAGGAGGAAAAGCCAGTCCCTCAAGAGCCATTGCGGGAATCTGACAGGCTACAGATAGTCGATAGATTCAACAGCCAGAAGTCACACGTGCTAGAGAAAGTTACTGAGCTTTAACAATTAAAGCTCAGCATCTTGAAAAAAAAAAAAAGGATAGCTCCAGAAGCGTGCTTAACACTCCTCAGTGGAAAATCAGCATTACTTAATTTCCAGAAAGATCAGTTCCTCTGTGTTAACGTATAATGCAACTTTTATGTTTTTCCCGCGTTGGTGCTTGTTTCCAACGTTATTGATTGCTATGTCTCTTGAAGAGAAGTGAAGGCACAGTGTTGCTTGGAAATATGCTTCGCAGTACCCTGCGCTGAATCTTTGTTTGAGTGCACACCAGAGTGTTACATTTTTCCCGAGAGAGAACCTCCATTTTCTTTCTGCGTACCCAGCTGTCACCAACGGACAAATCGCTGGAGCACCAGAAGCACTTCCGCATCCTCCACTATGCGGGCGAGGTAACATACTCCATCACAGGCTTCCTCGACAAGAACAAGGACACCCTGTTCCAGGACTTCAAGCGTCTACTGTACAACAGGTGGGTGGAGAGAATTTTGAGGAATCAGTCGTGCATGGTTGTGGCAGGGCTTCCTTTTGCAGGCGGGCAGGCTGTCATGCTGTTTCCGTCTAGTGACAACATTTCGAACTCAATAGAGAGATTACTCTCTAGAAACTATGAGACATGCGTATCATTAATACGTACAGTTCCTGCCTATTAGTGATGAAGTAAACTGAAGCCTGTTACTTGAAAATAAAACTCCTATTATTTCACTTAATAAAACATACCAATGATGGATATCGAAGTTTAGAATTTTAGATTAAGGAGTGATGTAAGATCATTTTTTTTTTATTTGAACCACGTGCAATGCAATCTTCGGATGAAGATTTTAAGATCATCCACTGAAGGGTGGTTACATTGAAGGTATGTGCTGGACATGAACATTTTTAGTTGTGTGCAAGATCCTTTAGGTCATAATGTTGCTTAAAAAAAACATGCTGTGACATCAAATAGTTTTCATGAGCTCTTTGTAAGGCATGCATTTTTATTTAGAAACGTTAATACTTGTCCAGTCCAAATATTCAAGCACTTCAAATAACTGAACGAACAATACAGTATTCAAAATCACTGATTCAAATTTTAAAAATTGGAAATTTCTAAGTACATTGCGAAATAAACGGATAAGAATATATTTGTGCGCATTTAATACCCTTGTAAAGTTGCTTTCACTGCATTAAGAGGATGTTGTTACGTGAACACACCTATCCAGGAAAAATCCGCACTGCCACAAAGCAGGACTGTGCAAGACTCTGTCTTCTCTTTCTGTTTTTTTCACTTCGCAGTCGTGAAACCATATCAACATGCTCAGACCCATACCCTTTTAAATGCCACTTAGATCAGTCCAAGAGGCAGACTTTCTCATCCCCCCCCCCCCCTTTTTTTTCCCAGCTCGGACCCTCTCACCAAGTCCATGTGGCCCGAAGGTGCAAAGAATGTGAATCAGGTGAGATAGCGTCAGGTTAGTTCAGTTACAATCATAGTGCACTCTAATTAGCACCTGCAATGTTATTATTATCACTCGACGTTGTAAACCAAAGCTGTGTAGTGATTTTAACAGGTTATTTAATCACTTGGAGAAAGCTACTTTCGAACACAGTATAGTCTGTCATTGCTTTTTCACGATAAGTCAGTGTAGTAAGCTTTCGAAAATTGAAGCATGGGAACCTGAATGTCTTACTGAAAACAGAAGCTTTCTTTAGTTCGCAGTGTGACATTTGAGCACCACATGGGCGTTCTGACACAAGGAAATGACTAAACCTTATAAACGGGGCCTCATTTTATTTTCATTGAGTAATATTAGGTTCACTGCATCAAATGCCTCAGATCTTGTAGAAGCGGCACATGCAACATGTTTAGCAAATGCTGTGCAAAGCATGTCTGCATGTTGACATAATAGTAGGTATCTGCATGTAACAATAAAAGTGTGAATAAGTAACAAAAAAATAACAATAAGATGCTTATGTGAGATTAAGAGAACACAAACAGTATTCCCCATCTAGGTCACTCAATTCGCACCTCACAAACCACTGTGAAAATTCACACAATCTTCTCAATGGGAACCCTGATAGGATGCAAAGCAGCAGTGTTGCCGACACTTGCATTCGGCTTCCCTGGCTCGCACCTCGTCAGCGTTGCAGGCGCGACGTCGCCATTCGCGAACGCGATAGGCTTCGCAGACTCTCGCAACGTGGACGACAGCGGGTTAGGCCTAATCGCTTCGGTGGATGTTTCAGCGGGTGAAGGAGCATCGTCTTTCGGCGTCTCCTCCATCGCAGATAAACGAGCCGAAAGAGGGTTACCACTGGATGTGTGTTCGAGCGTTGTGAGCAGTGGAGATTGTAAAGCGAGAGAGAAGTGACACGTACGGACATGTTTCAATGCGTACGTTATGCGCGCGTCAGGTTTATTACGCATGAAATGACAAGTCAGAGGTGTAGTGAGCAGTGGCAGGGGCAGGTGTTGCGGGCAAACGGGCGAGGCAGTAGCTGCGGGTGCTGCGGCCAGCGTGTGGCAGGCAAAGGAGAGAGTGATGTCAGCGCTCACTGCGAGGGGAGTGTGACGTCAACTCGCAGCTGTGGCGTGATCTACTTGGCACCACTCTAACACCTGCGGCGAATGGAACGTGTTCGTACAGACGCACGGAGAGACAGCATTATACAGGCTCATCAAAGTGCTGCTTCGCATCTAAAGGTGTGGCTGTACTGTTCCTTATGTGTCATGCTAGGTAATATTCTCCTCCTCTACTAAATTAACAAGGAAATCATTGGAGTGCTTTGCGTCTATCACATTCAAGGTAGCTGTATAAGTAAGATCTCCAATCTCTAGCAATTGAAGAAGCAGCGTATATTCTGCATTCATGTGGCTTATAATACTGTCTGTAGAACTGTGCATTTCCATTTCGCTGTATGTACATTGAAACTTCAATTATACGTCCCCCAGTTTGGCGAAGATCGGAATTCTACGACGAATCAGTTTATTCTCGACAAAATCCCCATAGAAATAATGCATTAAAACCTTAATTTTATGATGCATTTTGACGCCGACCTCGCATCTTACGATAACTTTCAGAGTCCGCTTGAAATATAAAAAAAAACCTTCACTCGAATCAAACGTCATCCAAATAATCACGAGTGCAAAATATGAAACCGTGTTGCCCTAGTTGACAATTAAAAAAGTAAAGATACATGATGTCTTAGAATGAAAAATTAATCTTGAAAGCTCATACGCTTCTACATATGCCTCAATCATGTGCGTACGTATCCGGGGTCGTTACCTAATCAAGCTCTCTCAACACAGAGTAGCTTCAGCTGGCCGGAACGCTGATATTCTCTCATTTTCGGCCCGTGGGAACTTTTCCTGGTCAACGTACAGCTGAGCTCCCGCCTTTGTCGCATTCACAATCGCAAGCTTGCGCACACATAAGGGCGCGACATAGCTGTTTTTATCGTGCAAAATTACTTTCACTTGACGTGAACGTTCATAATAAGAACGGGACACCCCTAGTCGCACTTCACAAGCCAATAAATTACAACGCACACTGCTCAGTCGCACACGAGGCATTCTACGCAAACTCGTCGTCCATCGCCATAATGTTATAGTGATGACAGTGTTTGGCTTTTCTCACAGGAGGCTGTTGATGACGCGGTTTTCGGTTTCACACGCAGGCAATTTTTTAACTTGGTTTATCGGTACAAATATGCGCATTAGATTCAAATTTTTTTTAAGTTGAGAATAAATATTCGCTCGCACCTCCTTTAGCCAAGTAACTACGACTGGCAGGAATAATTTGATATACCATCCTTGCAAAGGCACAAGGTCATGCTGTGGGCTTATTTACCTTTTTTTTTATGTACCTTTTTTTTTTCTTGGGTAAGGCTGAGTGTCACTGTCTATAATTTCAATCTTTCAATTAATATTAGGCTTGTGGGAATATTTGAATGCTTCGAATATTCGAATGAATAGTTGAGTATTTGAATTTGCTTCGATTCTAATTTAAATTATTGAATATTTTCAAAGTATTCGCAATGAATGAATAGATCTATCTTAATCCGCATGTTTAGCAAAAGTGGTTTTACTGCAATGTAGGGAGTGCTAAACCGTGAAAACATCTAGTTAGAAGAAATTCGCTTTGCCACGAAGCCCCCTTTATATATAAAAGGGCTCTGCAACACTTATTGAACGTGGTCAGAAAATGCTGCAGATTAGTATTCGAGGCTTTCGAGAACACGTGAGGCAAATGTTATGGCGCAGCTCGCGATCTGTAATTTACAATAAATTTTCAAAGCTAAAAATTGCTTTCTTCTCTCAACAAATGACACTACAAGCTCAAAAATCACTTTCACAGCCATTGGCTGATTGAAGCATGACGCGCTCGTCATTACTGGGGCCGCCGCGGGAGGCCGCCACTTGTCCACAAGTATGTGCGCGATCACAGTGAAAAGCCACATACTCGCAGAAAAAAAAAAAATGAGGTGCTCAAGGTGACGACGTGCGTGTGACGCATTTTATTTTGTTGTGACATTCCTCTCTGCTTAACTTCCAGCTATTTCGTCGGGATGAGAAGAGAGAATACAATTGCAGCGTGTGACAAATTTTTTGAACTCCGCTCATACTGGACTTATTCTAGAAACTTTGCGGCGGTAAATTTGTGAGGCAACAAGCATATTTACTGGCTCCATGGCTACTTTAAAAAGTGTTGCAGGGCCCCGTTAAAGGAACATGTTACCTTCAAATCAATTCTTCATTTTATTAAGCTTGTTATGACGGCTTATATGCTCTAAGTATGATAAATTTTACAACGTTAAGCATCTTACAGGTTATCACTCGCATCCTACTGAAACTACTACTCAAGGTTGTTTCGAATTCCTTTGATCGAAAAAGAAAACTGGCATTTGCCTAGTGCCCCTATTTCAATTCAAAAGAAATATTGTGCAGGTTAGTTAAGTCATGATAAATGTTTTTTTTTTGTTATATGTCATATATCCATTCAAATTCTATTAGAAATTATTCGATCAAAATCACTATTCGCTTCGAACCTAAAATTCACTATTCGCACAAGCCTGTCAATTATACAACGCCCGGATTATACAATGGTTTTGAATGGTGCCCTGAAAGTCGTATAATCAGGCTTCCATTGTACTTGTTTCAATTAGTTTTACTGGTTCTTTCCTGCCGTGTTTCTGTTGTTTTCTCTGCTGAGTGGCTTGTCCAAGTTTACTTGTTTTCATCATTTCAGTAGCACTGATATAGTTGGGCAAGTTGGTAAGGAATAAATATTAAGAATAAAAGGGCATAACGAAGGGACGATAAACACTGACAATGAAAAATACACGAAGACAGGCACCAAGAAACATTTCCCAAGAAGCTTCCGCTGAGTCGGCAGACTGTCTGGTTACTTCTCTTCTTGACGTTCATATTTGGCACTGTTGTATTGATTGTGCCACGCCACCAACTGTGTAACCTAGGGCAGGGTTTTTCTGCTGGAGGAGTACACCCATGATAAGCGAGTTCCTGGGGGGAGGGGGGGGAGGCGAGGGATGGCTGGGAGGATATTTAGGCACTGTGTCTTGACTATGTTTGCTCTTGGAGGGGAGCTCCTGGTGCAACCTCTAAGAACTGTCAATTGCAATAGTGTGCCAGTGCACAGCGCTTCCAGCTACACCTCCACAATGTGGCCTGCACTATGAGTTGCTAGTTGTACTCAGTATTGGTAATACTGTCCTTCCTGTGTTCCTCTTGTAGGTTACCAAGCGCCCCCTAACAGCAGGCACATTGTTCAAGAATTCCATGGTGGCCCTTGTTCAGAACCTTGCTTCCAAGGTAAGCTTTGCCAAGCATGTGCCTGCAATGCATTGCAAAGCTCTTTTTTTTTTTCAAGTGTCATAAAATGCCCCATTGCTACAATAACAGGAACTGTAGCTGTAAGAGTAGGTAAAAATAAGGTGGAATTAGAATGAGCTTTAGAAGTTTGTTTCCTTTTTTTTTTTCACAGCTCTAAAAATTGATGTCTCAGTGCATCTAGTAAAGGCTGGGCAAATGACTGCCGTTTTTACGTGAGTGTTATCAGCAGTGAAGACGAGAAATTGCAGTGACCAGTGTTGACCTGCCTAGAAAATGTACACATCATATCTGTGTCAATGCGAGCACATAAGAACTACTACAGAAGCTTTTTCCTTCAGCAGAAACATGTTATGATCTTAATGTATGACATCTTGGAGAGTAATGTGCTTTGGAACAGTATCCGCTTATTTGTGTATCTGGCTCAGTGGGCAATATTGTTTTTAGCAGCCTGGTATTTTAAACTTTTAATCCCACGGGCATCATACTATAATTCTAAATGTATAGTTTACTTAATATGCAGAGTGTTCATATTCTTTATGTTGCGTCGCCTCGCCATGGTTCAATTGCAAGTGTAATGAACGGTTTGTTGGCACAAGCAAATGTGTAAAAGCTTTCGATTCGTGACTAGGTGCACATAGTGATTCAATTGCTTTATAACTAGTACATCTATCTGCATAGAGTTCATAAGCCTTGCTTTGCACGCAACATCTTCCGGAAAAAAATTCCTGCATATCCACAAAGTGAATGATGATGAAGGTGCTTGCTCCGAGGTTAAATCTGGTAAACTGTGAATCCTATGCACATATACTCAATCATCATCATATAAAGATGTGACACGAGAGTTGTTGTGGTGTGATTGTATATACACGTTATATACACAATGTTTATTATTTACATGTCAATGTACTTTTTACAGATACTTACATACTGATGCAGAATATACATTTTGTTCAAGAGCTTATTTACGGATCACATGAGCTCGGAGGAACGTTTTCCTTTTAGTATAATGGCTTTGTGATCCGTAAAGTACAAAGCCAGAGCATCTTGAATTATAGGATGTAGAGGAAAGTTCGAGAAGGGTCCTGATAGCGAGCACGCGCTGCAGCCGCATTGCGAGCCCTCCACGTCGCCACCTTGGCTTCTGCGGTGTTCATAGTGAGTAGCAATGTCGACGCGCACTGAGTGATGTCCGGTGAAAGAGAAAGGAAGCGTGCAGAGAGCGAGCGCTATATATAGGCGCAGCCACCCAGCGGTCTCCTACCAAACTAGAGCACGCTCCGAGAGTGCAGCGAGCGTTGCCTGAACAGCGGCGCGCCATCTAGTGAGCACTCTTGAAATGAAGAGCACAGCTGCATCTCTAGTGGGAGCAATATGAGCACTAGTGTACACACCAGCACAACGACAAGAGACAACCCCCCCGCAAAAGGAGCAAGCTCCTAAAAAATAGTCTGCCATTGTGCGTTTCATATATTATACAAACACCATCCTCGCCAATCGTATTCAAGAGAACAGATTTTTGGGGTAGTTTATTTTGTCAATGAAGTCTTCCGTAGTGCTTAAAAGACAAGAGACTAAGAAAGAAGTACACATCCTTCCCTCTTCTTTTGCCCTAGTGTTTTAGGCACTATGGCTTTATTGACTCATATTCAAATATGCATAGCACTTGGACATTCAATAGGCTAGCTGACACTCATTCTTAGCTCCTGTTGCTTCCTCTTGCATTTTGACAGGAGCCTTTTTACGTCCGGTGCATCAAACCCAACGAGCACAAGTCACCGATCCTGTTTGATGAGGAGCGAGTACGGCACCAGGTCAACTACTTGGGACTGCTTGAAAACGTCCGTGTGCGACGAGCTGGATTTGCCTACAGGCAGGACTACACTCGCTTCCTGCGGAGGTGTGTTGCGCTTTTGTCTCGTAGAGATACTGCTGCAGCATACCATTTGACACATCAGAAATTTATGAAGGAAGCAGTGACATTCATTTACTAGTGACTAGGCTTGTGTGAATTTTAAATTGCTTTGATTAAAATATCAGTTATCAGAATTTTCGAAGTATTTAGAACGAATGAACAGGGGTACTATATTAGTTCGCATGTAAACCCTTGTAAAGACGGTTTCACTGAAGTGTAATGGTGCTATATTGTGAATACAACTTACCAGGGAAAATCGGCATTGTCGCAAAGTTCAACTTCAAGGCTAAATTAACATTTTACCCTCACATGGATTCAACATATGAGTTTAAAAGCTTGTTATACAAGCTTATGTGCTCTAACTTGATCTATTTTGCATTCAGATTTTGTCTCAGTCTATTTTGCATTCAGAATTTGTGAGCAAGACACAAGCATCTTTTATAATGTACGTTTCGTGCAACATTTGTGAAAGATGAGTAGTAAAAGCCAAGAATAAGAGGTTGCATTGCAATAGCGAGTGCATGAGCACGCAACATTCTGAAATTTTTACAAGCTTTCTTGCTGAACTTGTTGGGGCTTTTTTTTAAGGATATTTTCACATTTGGTATTCAAGGATCTATAACGGTTGACCAATGTAATACCATACAGAAGTGTTAGTCTGTTCAGGTAAACTTTTTAACCCATGGATAGGGCACTTACAGTGCTTTGGAAGAAAATGCTATCTCAATCGGGGCTGATTCTTGGAATCTCTTGTGTTTTGTGCAGGTACAAAATGATAACTGAATACACGTGGCCCAATTACCGGGGCGGCTCGGATCGGGATGGCTGCGAAGTCATCATCGACAAGATGGGCTTTTCAGACGACGTCAAGTACGGCCGCACCAAGATCTTCATCCGGTCTCCCCAGACGCTGTCACGTTTGGAGGCCGAGCGCCTCGCCATCATTCCCCGCATTGTTGTGTTCCTCCAGAAGGTCAGAGCGCAATTAATATAATGATTGGAACTTATCACTGTAAAAAAAATTTACATATGTTAACACAAAAAGGTGGGAGACAAATTTGGTGCATAAATTTGTACTGGTTGTAGTGTGAGAGACAAATATAAGAAAAAAAACTTTTCTTGAAACACAATACGCAATGTTTTCTATCTTATGTGTTCCAATGGCGATTCAGCATTGGAATTTATCATTTCTTTAACAGAGGCATAGGTCACAGCTTACTAGTTCAAAATTTAGAGCATACTATTTCATTTATACTGTATGTTGCAAGATTGCATTAAAAAACCAATATTAGTCTTACATGCCATAGTCTTCTTTCGCTGTCACTCTTGCACCATGATGATACTGGATTGTTACTGTCATGACGGGGCACAGAAATATAGCATGGCCATTGCTAATGGTGTGCACACACTATGTGAAAACTGCCCACAGGTGCAAGAAACAAAAGTAACGTGACTGCAAACACTGATTCTATTTCATCTATTTTTTTCAGATGTGGCGTGGTGCTATTGCGCGAATGCGCTACCGCAGGACTCGAGCTGCCATTACAATCCTCGCCCACTATCGCAAGTACGCTGCGCGGAAGTACATCACCGACCTAAAGAAAGCCTTCAGGTAAATGAACTCTCAAATCATGGTTGCGGTGCGCACCTTTGACTATGCTTCATTTTTACAGCGAAAGCTGTATATGGATAGGAGAAACGAAAAACCATCCGGCAGCGGCGTCACGAGCGGTCTTCATTGGCTTTGTTACTAGTTTCGTCATTTGCAGCGTCGTACCCAAGCCCGCGCACTATTGGCTGCAATGTGTTGTGAGTGACATCATTGTCCATCTCGTCGCAACCGTGGCACCGAGCACGCGCGTCGCTTTCTCCCGAAACCTTTCACATGGATATGCTACGGACAACTTTAGAAGAGCACTGACAGTAGAAACGAGAGAGAGCTCGCACTCTCCAGTCCAATCATGCAATCCGGGACCCGCCGCGGTGGTCTAGTGGCTACGGTACTCGGCTGCTGACTCGCAGGTCGCGGGATCGAATTCCGGCTGCGGCGGCTGCATTTCCTGATGGAGGCGGAAATGTTGTAGGCCCTGTGCTCAGATTTGGGTGCACGTTAAAGAGGCCCAGGTGGTCGAAATTTCCGGAGCCCTCCACTACGGCGTCTCTCATATTCATATGGTGATTTTGGGACGTGAAACCCTACATATCAATCAATTGTGCAATCCAGGCACAAAAACGGGTCCAGGAGGCTGAGTGCCAGCAGCAGCTGCATGCCGATGATCCAGCAGCCTTCCAAGCCGTGCTAAATTGCAAATGAGAATGCAAGCGGCAGTGGGGGGGGGGATCGGCAAACCACGGTGTCGAGTTTGCGTGCGATGTCAAGCACTTGCGACAACGCAGCATTGCGGTGTCAATGTGATGATTGCGGGAGCGCGTTTGCTGAGGCGAACGCCCACTTTTGGTGGAAATTTCTCCAGCGGCACATTGGTTTCAGCTGCGATGTCTATGACCGCCTGTTGTTCAAAAACAACCACTGTGAATAACGCACTGCAAAATGCATTTAACCGCTCATTACAATCCATCATCACCATTGATCATGCGAGGCACAACATGCGGCATGATCAATGCATAAACTCTGCGGTAAACCCAAGCCAAACCATGTGTCTAACCTCATTAAGAAGCATGAGCATGTAATTGACAATTGTAATAGGTTTCAGTGCCATGTTGGGTTGAGCCCATGGCTAAAAACCGGGGGTGTACGTTTCAGATTTTGCTGGTTAACCATTTCTACAGAGTGCTTAGACGCCGATTCTTCTTCAAGCATTAAATGTGCATTTTTATGCATTAAATGTGCAACCAGAAATTATCAATAAGGGTCAGTGGGGGAGAGTTTGAAAGTTCAAATATCTGTGCACATAAAATTTATCATTGTGGTCAAAATTAAAAGTTTTCTTGTGGCTCGAGAACGTCTGCAATTCACTCTTACTTCCCTTTTAAATTCATATCTACATAGTGGTTTTGATCTCTTCAGTTCGTCAAACGGTGCTTTGTATGCTATGTACATTTTTCGCACTGTAAGTAAAGCATAGACAGATTCCATTATCACGAATAATCCACTTTTTCCTCAAACCTTGGTCGAAACACTTGCCTTGTGCGCGAATGGTTAACAAAATAGGAATGCTGTGCTTTTGAAGGGGAATGTTCTTTGTGAGGCAAGTTTGAGTGAGGGAAAGAACACGCTTTTGCGAGATTCTGGTGGTATCTTTTTCTTTTTTTCCTTATGAGTCTTGTCTCGCCGGGGTTTCTCCTTAACCGCTTTCTATGTATATTTTACCTCAGGAACGTTCACCAGACCAAGGACTACGGCAAGAATGTGGCTTGGCCTCCGCCGCCATGCTGTGTTCGGGAAGCCGTCCCTGGACTCAAGTCTATCTTCTCACGGTGGGTGCACCGGCTACCCTGACAATGCTTACGTTTGAAATACACCCATTGGTCAGCACAACTTGCATTATCTAGGCGTGCGCAGTGGAAAACTTGCAGGGCCCTTTGCCCATTCGTCTGAGACGACTCCAAGGCCAAAGCTGTTGCGCTGCCTCCATGACCAGCCCATTTTCGACCAAGCGATTATGTCATTTGATGACTGCATCATGTAATGTTGTAATGATGTCATCGCGTGATTATGTTTTGCATCACTTGTGTTTACACCGTTGCCGATTGATACTTTATCCAGGCACTTCATTGGGTTTGTGCTGTTGTTGACAAATATATTGATGTAGAAATCATTTCATCATCATCATCAGCCTGACTACGTCCACTGCAGGACAAAGGCCTCTCCCATGTTCCGCCAGTTAACCCGGTCCTGTGCTTGCTGCTGCCAACTTATACCCGCAAACTTCTTAATCTCATCTGCCCACCTAACCTTCTGTCTCCCCCTAACCCGCTTCCCTTCTCTGGGAATCCAGTCAGTTACCCTTAATGACCAGCGGTTATCCTGTCTACGCGCTACATGCCCTGCCCATGTCCATTTCTTCTTCTTGATTTCATTCATTCAGAAATCATTTAGGGAAGATCAATTTTTTGTCTAATTTGTTCAATATAAGACTTGCAAGTCAGTTTGACTTTGCTTCAGCTTTGTAGCAAGAAAAGTGTGATATTATAATGGCTCTTCTCATCTTTTATCTCAACAAGCGGAATCATCTTTACGAACCCTTGGCTCTTAGATACCCTTATGCTTCAAGTTTAGAGGAAATACCTTTCTAAATTATAAAACAACCTGTAGTGGTGGTGTAAAACTTGCGAGCAATACAAGCAAGTGTTCATGCATTCTAAAGAAGCATGCAGCATGTATATAGTAGTAGGTGATGTATATTAAGTATTATAGGTGGTGCGTGTATACAGTAGTAGAAGGTGTGTGATATTTTAAATTGTGAAACATAATAGCAATGTATTCATTCTGACACCTTCATTCATGATGACTTACTAGGCAGTCTTGGTACACAGAAATTTAGAATTGCCACATTGTTGTAATCACGGATTGTGTCGAGGCTTTGCTGTCACATATTTGCTTTGTGCATGCGTAGTATGCTTTGTGATGAGGAGCATGCGAAGCCTGTGTCTAAATCTTGGTAGTGTGACCTTCTGTGCACTAAATACTGTTCTTGTCATCTCTGCTGTGCTGTCCTCTACAGCTGTTGTCTTCCCGGGTGCTCCTATACGTTTATATTATCACAGGAGGGTCGAGCGTTACTGAACTAATATAGTGCAATCTGTCGATGTCTCATGCTCATCCCTGCAGCTGGCGTGGCAGCATGATCCTGCGCAAGGTTCCGCGGGAACAGTGGCCGCAACTGCATCTCAAGGTCACGGCTGCAGACGTTCTGGCCGGCAGACGCCGCGACTGGGGACAGTCACGCAAGTGGCATGGCAACTACCTCTCTCTGGTGAGAGACGAGTTCCTGTGCTTAATTTTTGTGGTGCAGCTGTAATCTCTAATTGTTCCTTTCTCATTGCTAAACCCTGTTTTTACACATGTGGTTACCGTTGGTGGTACGAGAATGAATTCAAGGAAGGATGAAAATGTTAGTGTCATCTTTTTTTATTTTGTCTGTGTTTCTCATCTCATAGTAACCGCGAACACATCACCTTGTGTGTTCATTATGCACTAGGTGTAGGTGGCAATGCTATCTTAATAGGTTGTCTCTGTTTTTATGGTCTCTATGCCATCTGTAGTGGTGTTCTGGCAGACTTGTGTTATTTTGACCACTGTAAATTCTGTCAACCTTCCAAGTTCAATGTGTTGAAAAGATTGGGAAGGCATTTGTTCAGCTCAATCAGGCTAGCTATTACCTTGCAAATTTCGTTTCAACAACTTTGGACTACCTGTGGAGGGGCAATGGCATGCTGGGTGTAGCATGCAAATAAAAAGGTCAAGTTCACATTGAGGGATTTACAGTGGTCAAACAAGTGTCAATGTAGCCAGTGTTTTGACTTGTCTTTGTCAGGGCGTGAAAACAAACTTCACTTGTTAAAACATAGTCAACACCAAAAACCTTTCTTTCAATAACTGTTGGCCATTCAATATTAAATTGTCATTCAGTGGTGTTTACTCGCAAGAAGAATGGACAAGGCAACAGGGACCTTTGTCAGAAAATTACTTATTCAGTAAACTCATGCTCTCTAATAAACACTCCATCATGACAGCTTGGTACCGTAATATATCCAGCCAATTAGGCACGTTTAAATATTCAAGAGCCTTGAATGTTTAAATCAATTTGAATTCACTTCAATACCAAGCAAAAATTTTCAAAATATGAAGCATTTGAAACAAACAAATAGATGAAATTTAGTACATGTGATCTACCTGAAAGGTCATTTCACTGCAGCGTGGCACTGATATGCCATTGAAATCACACATTTAGGGGAAATGCATACTGCCACTAGGCCGCGCTTAAAGTGTACATATTATCTGCACCTTGATTCATTTCTTTAATTCTTTTGAGTTCAGAAGGCTTGTTATAAGGGCTTATATTGGGTCAGTATGGCAAGCTTGGAAACTTAATGTAATTTACCACTCATAATTTACCCTTGTACTGTTCAAATAATACTATTCAAATTTGCTTCAACTTTACATTGACCAAAAAATGTGACATTCGCACAAGTGTACTTTGAATTCTCAAAACATTCTGCAGTTGGGTCATGATAAGTTGAGTATTCTTCTTTTTCTTTTTGCATATAATATACTGCTCGAACTATTTGATTATAAATCGCCATTTGCTTTTAATTGACTTTCATCCTCAAATTTACTGTTCACCCATTTCTACTAATATATTACATGCCGTCTGCAGAAATGCAGTGCATGAAGGTTTGTGTAATTCAATTCATGTGCGCATTCAAGACTCTCAAGTAAAAAATTATTTAGCACTCCTTCTAGTTATTCTCATAGCAGTGGTGTTACTTTAGGGTAGAATACACCCAATGAATGAATGAATCATTAAATAAATAAATAAATCAACCAACTTAATTGCATATAATAAACGAATATGTGCTCTGGCATGTAGGTAAGCTTGGAAACATACAGGTGCACAAATGAAAAGGCGCAATTACAAAAGAGAGTAGAGTGACGAGCGCAAGCCAAGTTTGCCCGTTCAGTCCATTTTTCTTACCAAGTTGGATCACGTGCTGCATGTTATATTCCAATTTTAGCGCAGAATGGGCAAGATATATTCATGAATCTCTACCTCATGCAGACAGCTGAAAACGATGCATGCCTGCCATACATCACGTCCGTCACTGGCCTGAAGAGCAAGGACACCTTCCGCAAGGTCGTCTTCTCCAGCTTTGTGAAGAAGGCAAGTGAGCAATCTTGAGCCAATACTGTTTTACGGGGGATCTACTGCAGTCGTTAACATTTGATAACAACCAAATGGATAGATGGCGAGGGCAAGTTTGGTTGCCATCACTGTTTATTCTAAAGAACCAGATGCATTTAGTCTGAAATATTTTAAAGTGCAGAACAAGTTAAGAAGTGCAGATTCTGCACTAATTGAACCCGCACAACCACTAGCACGGAAGCCAAATACTATAGGAGGTATTCACAGAGGCCGGCCCGCCAGGTGGCAACAGCGAGTGGCTGCTTCTGGCCCGCATTGCTGCGGTCCTTCAGCTGATTCAGCGGTACCAACGAGCGGTATGGGGTATGACAGTCGGTTGTTTGGCAGCTTCTGTATCGTGCTTGGAAATGCGTTTTTTTTTTTCTTTAAGCCTCGCTTTTTCAGGCACTATGGTCAACTGCGCTGTGTATAGATGCGGTTCCCACCCCAAAAAGGGCTTTTCTTGACCTAGGAGTACGCTCGAAAAAACCACGCAGGTGACACTTGCTCATAAACATCAGAGTTGTGCCTCAGTAGCCAGAGAGAAGCTGTTTACCGGTGAGCAATAGCAACCCACTAGTACACGCAAGCGCTAGCAATTCTAAAATGAATGTGCTGTCAGATTACATGTACCTCGAAAGTTAGATGCTATTATAGGAGAGTACTCATTGTGCGACCAAACAATCAAAGCATTTTTTACGCAGCTGTTGATGGCAAAAGCGTCGTAAAAAGTCGTTCATGTAATGAGAATATTTAATGACCACAGTGCCCAATCGCTGTGGCACATAACACCAATAAGTGAGGAAATGCGATGAGACAGAACATTACTACTCCTAAACGTCGGCACATCAGCTCTGCTACATATGCCGTGACGCAGTCATGAAATTGCTCAAGTAAATTACTGCTCGAGTCCACGTCGCCGTTCTAATACACAACACATGACGGTTTGCAAAGAAATAAATAAGCTTGCCCTATCAACAATGACCACTCGATTGTCGGCGAGCGCTTTGAGGTGCGGTTTCTGCAACCAATCCCCGGTAGGATAATTGTAAGCTTACAAAGCCTTGTAAGACTTCAGCTGCTCCCAACTTATGAAACTTGTGACATGGACAAGGTAATCCTTGATGTTTGTGAAATCTACATGTGGCAAAAGATTCGCTTAGCAGTTCATCTCTGCTTCGTTCAAGTCAGGGGGCTAACACTGCCGCACAGGCGCACCTTTTCTCGTTGCGCGACTTTTCAGGCTCTATCAGCCCATGCGCAGAAGCGCTTATCCGCATGCTCATAGAAGCAAGTCTTCTGAACACCTTACTGTGCCATTTTCTTGAGAAAAATGTCAAAACAACACGCAATACCAGGCTTTTCTGTTGTAGTCCTATGATGGCATCTGCTCCCAATTCCACGCATACGGCAACTGTCGTGCCGACCACTAGCGCTCCTTGCGAATGGCGTCATGTGAATACCTCCAATAAACATTACGTTGTAGACACAGGTGTTTATGCAGTCATTAAAATGCTTTTAAGAATTTTCTGTGCACAAGGTAGCACATTGAGAAGGGGCTTTCATTTCGCCACTGTTGTAATGGCTCTATCAGCTTGGTGCTGTGTGTGCATTTTGTGCAGCAGTGATTTGCATGCTTCACTATTTCATAGCACAATTTATCACTAGCGTATTATCAGGATTCAGCATTGCGCTCAGGCATTCCAAGGTACTACTTACACAGTGAGGAACCCTCAGTTTTTCTGTCATATTGTGGTTGAACGTGTTGTATTACATGCTGCCTCAGAACTTCGAAAGAAACTGAGCAAGAGCATGAAAAGAAAAAACAGGGTATTCAATGTGTCAGCATAGTAAAAATCCTGCACTTCATGCCTCCATTCAGGTAAACAGGCACAACCAGTCATCTGACCGCGCACTTGTGGTCACCGACAGCTGCATCTTCAAGATGGACAACAAGAAGTTCAAGGCTCTCCGATCACCAGTTCCTATCAGTGATGTGAGGCTACCCTCTTTTCTCCATACTATATATATATATATATATATATATAATGAGATCTAACAGACAATAATGCCAAGGATTGTATAGGGGAAGTTATTAGAACCAACGTAAGGTAAATGAGAAGAAAGAAAAGTGGGTGACAAAATAACTTACCGTGAGCAGGAATCGAACCTACAACCTCCAAATGACCCGTTCGATGCTCTACCACTGAGCTATCACAACGACTATTCTCCCAGCCACTTTATTGGGTTTATATGTGAATTTAAACGTGGGAATGTCAGTCAGCGCCACCTGTAGCCATGGGGGCGAGTGTGGTACACTCTTTTTATGAGCCTGTATGGCATCACATAGCACGTGAACTTTATTACGTGCTGGCAGCTGACCAATAGTCCCTCGTATACAATCTAATGGCAACAAGTCTGCCAGCGCGAGACCCTCGTTAACGAGGGTCTATATTTTTTACAGCTTTGTTTTGCACTGGCCAGATGCATATCTTAATTACCATTTCATGGGAATCACTTCGAACTTGCTGCACATTTCGTTTTGCGGTCACGTTTACTCGAAACAGTCGAAGAGATCACGCGTCATTGCATGTGAGCGGTGAAACTTCATGCAGAGAGTCTTTCAACACAAAAGGGTTTGTCTCAAAAGACATTAATTCGTCCGTGGGTCAGAGGTATTCTATATTCCATTAAAGCTAGGTAGTTGTCTTAGAGTTGCTATCGATCAAGTCATTGAATTGTTCGTGCAAAAATGAAAATACTAAACGATTGGACGGAGTTGCGAACGATTTCCGTTCTCTTCCGTACAGCTCACAGGCATCAGCATCACTCCTGGCCCGGACCAGTTGGCCATTTTGCACCTGAGGGGCAACAACGACCTGGTTGTTTGCCTGGTCACGTCGAATGCAGCAGACAGCAATAGAGTTGGAGAACTTGTTGGTGCTGTCGTGCGTCAGTGGCAAAGGTGAGCTAGAGTTATTTCACGCTTAGTGCGAGCAGTTCTTCTGCGAGCATGTATCTAGTTATTACTGCAAATGCCTGGAAATGGCAAGTGTCGCTCATTCCCAACAGAACTCCCAAGTTCTCAAAGTACAACAATACAAAAACAACACTCGAATATATATCCTCAAAGTTTTTTCAAAACTTTCGTACAAGTCATGTGTGAGCTCTACAGAATTTTCTTGACACAGTATGATAATATTTACCATGTACACCACTGAAAATTAGCATATCCAAAAGGACCCATTTTTCGTGTGTTGAATTGATGTATGAATGATGTATTCAAAATTATTTCAGCTGAATACAATAGGCAAGGTGCCCTTGTAAAGCCACAGGAACAGTTGCTTTTTCTTTGAGTCTCGACTTCCGTACTTTTCTATTTTGTGAAGAATTCGGAAACGAATGAAAACTTTTATATTTAAATAAATACTTAAACAGAAGTTTCATGGCTTGCAATTGAAGGCTGTTGTAGAGCCATATTTTTCTGTTTTGGGAGGAATTCTGAAATTAACAAATTAAGACTTGTATATTTAAATAAATACTGAAACTAAAGTTTCACGGTTTGCAATTACAGGCTGTCGTGGAGATGATTGACACCATTTGATGTAAACTCTAATAAGTCAACATAAAATGAAGAAGCTTTAAAAACTGCTCTTGAGCTGTGTCAGACAATCAATGCTAGGAGAGACACAGATAAAAAAAGTGCAAATACAAGCGGTCATCTTCACCTGTATCCTTTTTTCAGTATCTCCATATTCGCACTGTACTACAATTAGGAACGTTTATTTGCTATGCCCTAAAAGTCTGCGTTGAAACCCTTCTTTGCGACATATGAGGTTCCTCTAAGGCTGCACTGCATTTGTGTTTCTCAGGTCTCAGAAAAGGGACCTACGTGTCATGGTGGGCACACAGCTGCAATGCATGCTGGGCAACAAGGCCCGCACTGTGTCTGTGGAGAGCACGTCCAGCATCTCGCAGCCAACGTTCAAGAAGGCGCCCAACAATGCACTGGTCCTACTATGGCCCAAGGACAGGGCGTCTGCTTAGTAAGCGAGGCCCACGCAATAGAACTGCTTCCTGGAGACGAGACCTATTGCTTCTTCAGCCACGGACATGCCGGCCAGCCCAGTAGACAAAGTGTTCTGAACAATTTTACAAGCAGAATTCTTGCACGCCTTGACTATCATCACCAGCGTGTTACGGTACTCAAACTCCAGGCTAAACTGCAGAGGAGGCAGTTAAGTGGCCCTTTCTATGGCATTGCAGCATCTGCTGAGTATTAAACAGTTCGGTTATAATCAGTGTTGCACCAGGCAATTAGAGGGTGAGAATTTCGAAAGCCCATTAAAAACGTGATCGGATAACTGCTTACATAGGTGGTGCTCAACCAAGCCACCAATAATGATCGAGGATGAAAGTTTATGCAAGTTGTCCACTTGGTTCACAAGAGTCATCACAGATTTGCTTATCATTTGTGTAGGTTTATTTGATTTACGAGATAACTCCTAGATTTAAGTAAAAGAACATATAAAAAAAGGTAATATCTGTGACGAGCACCTAATCTTTAAACACCCCAACAGCCTTAGTTAATCAGACTCTATGCTGGTGCTGAGAAGGCTAATACAGAATGACAAGAGAATGTAGAATGTTCTGGCTTTCAAGTATGTACGTTTTCAAATGGAAAGACCAGACTTTTATCGTTGGTTCATATATAAATTGTTGCTCTCTATTACTTTTGTCTTGTCGCAACTCCAATTGTAAGCAATGCTTAGCACACTGAAGACAATCAGTGAGAAAGTTTTTTTTTATACTACTATACAGCCCTTTTAATGCTACTATTGCCTTATTAATTATGCTGTCGTGTAACCTTAGGTTGCTTTTCTTTCACTTTTTTTTCCCAAGATGAACAAGTGCAGTGCACATTTACCGACCAGCATGTCCTGTAGGTGCTCAATCAAGTTCGGGATGATCTCTTTGTTTTATTATTATTGTTCTTATTATTTTTGAGCTTTTGCTGGTTACGAAACCATCATCGTAATGAAAAGCTATGCCGAGTATTGTTGCCACTCCGCAATTTTCATTGCTGCTTTCTTTTCTTGTTCTTTAATTAGAACATGCTCACTTAACGCATAGTTGTCAAATGAATGCATTGTGATTGTTCACTACTGCTGGGCATCGTGAACTTCGGCTATGTGTGTACGTGTCTACACCTGTGCACTCCGGCAACAATCTTTGTGATTGCCAGCTAAAGCCACGTTAACAATTTTGTGGTGTAATCGGCGAAAAATGTATCCTCATTCGGATACTTGGACTAACTGTCCAGAATTTTACAGCTGTCATAGAGATGCAACCCCACATGTTCTAGAGCCCACAGAAAGCAAATTTTATACGGTAGAACAAATGAATTTTTAAGTGCAAGGACAGGCTCAATTAAGCAAGAGCATTCTCTAGCTACAGTTTTGTGGTTCTGTTTACAGGCCTTCATGTCTTCTTTCAAAATGCGCGAACCATCGTTCGTTCAGCAATTCATGCCATTTTTCTCTTAGGAGAAGCACTGAATGGGCTGTACACAGCAGAGTAGCAGGTAATGATTTCTGAATATCTGGGAACAGCCTGTCTATATGTTTGTGCCTTAATTTCTGCCATCTGCATTAGCACAATTCACCTTGCTAGTTTCATGCCACTATACAGAAGCGAGTCATATAACCCGACTACGGACAGAGCAATGATGCAGCACCCTTTGTTGACAAAACACTGTGTGTTTAAATCCGATCTGTTGCATCTTCAAAAGCTGTCATGAAATGGTAAATGCCAATCTCCAGTGAAATTTGTAGCTTGATTCAAGTTTCTGGACTCTAGAGTACCATGACAAGCGTGCGCTTGCTTCATACCTGAACTATGCTTATTTTGGACAATCAATGCTGAAAATAGGCCATGTTCTTGTTCAATGCAAAAATTTAAATACGGTGACATTGAGGGGCATAGACCTGTCATGAAGAAGCGCACAGTGTATTTCACGATTACGCACTTTGAGCCACCGTACCCCTGTGTTTGACTGTTTCATGCCCTTACTTTTGGTGCGACATGAATATCTCGTCATTCCGAAGATACTGTTGTCAGTGCACAACGCTTGTACATACTATCATTGTTTAGCATGCTACATGGTGCATTTTGTTTCTTTGTTGTTTGCTTATTTGTCTTTATAAAAGACAGTACCAGTGAGTGCCTTTATAAAGCACACTGGTGCGATGTGCCTTAGTCAACAATGCGAGCTTGTGGCTTTTTACTGTAAGCTTGCCAGCAGCGTAACTAAAGTGGGCGGTTACACAGACGTGAAGAGCAATATTTATCTCTCTTTGATGACAAATACTATGTTCTATAATGCTTTTGTTGTGGTTTGCACTGTGTGTCATATCTGCTGTTAAACAAAATATTTTGACGCATAGCTGTACAAAAGGTTTTGACCGCAGCGAAGACATTGACAAGTGATGGTTGTAGGTGTAGTTTGAAAAATGTTGAGGAACACTTCAAGCATTGTTTGTTGTTGAATGAATATGCATGGAAAGAAGCTTGTTTGTAGGCACAGAACAAACTGAGCTAAACATGAAACGAATGAAAGCTTTGGTAGTCAGTCCCCCTCTTTTTTTTAATGAGATGACAAATGTAAATACGGTTGCTTTGTAGTGACGTTTAAACTTTCCCAGTCAGTATAAGTTTATGTGCGACAATATACAAACAAAAAAAATCGTTAACAAGTTCAATGTTCATTAAAACTTGAACATTATCGTAGTATCCATACCTTCCAAAGAAATATTTTTATTATAAAATTTGGTATTAGTTATAAGCACATTATAGAATTTTGGTATTTTACTTTATTGTGTATCTCATTGGATAGGTCCATGTTCATTATAAGTCAAGCTACTACAAGTGCTGTATAACACTTTCTAACCCTGATTGTCTGTTGAGTAGAGCAGTCTGTTCCTGTATGTCTGAGCGGCAATTTTTGCCGTCTTTGCACATAATTAAAAGCACTGTAAATCTGAGTCGTGTGTACTTGCTTGAAAGAGTTGGATTATTGTGTTTTATGAAGGTATTTTCAAATGTCCAGTGTAATGCTTTCAACATGGATTCTATGCCGTGCACATTCGGAGGTATGTATGTGCGATACTGATGCAAGGACAAGTTGAGAATGGCTGCAAGAAAGCTGCAGTACGCTGATGCATGGTTGATGTGTGAAGAGTCTGTTTGCTACGAATGCACCTTCCCTTTTCTAATAGTGTTTTTTTCTAGCTCTGTGGTGCCCTCGCGCTGCTCGCTAATGTTTTGCGAGAATTTGTTGGTTTTTTGCATTGTTTATTAGCTGCCAATATTTATCGATCATGTTGTAAATAAAAAAGAACTTGCACGATCACCAGGTGGATTGAACTGCCGATATATTTGCATTGACAGAGGACATTTCATTTCCTCGTGGCTCAGGTTCATATTATTTGGAAAAATAAAAGAGGAAGTATGGCCAGCGAAGGTAATGCAACGGGAAAAGGCGGACAGCCACAATTTGTGTTTTGACAACCAGCACAAGACTGAAGATGTAGATAAGGAACACAAGGACAACCACTGAGCTGTACATGTATGTATTGCAGTGAAACCAGTGCATGAAGTTGACGGCACACCTTAATGAACGAAAGAAATTTTCGAGGGCTTGCTTCTGTGTTTGACACAATCTTTATGAAAACCAGCAGATCGTAAACCCAACTTGAACTAAGGTATAGGGAACGTCAAGTGTGCTGTAATATTACAGATGTGAAGAAAGTGAAGTGGATTAAAAGACAACTTGATTGATTGATTGATATGTGGGGTTTAACGTCCCAAAACCACCTTATGCTTACGAGAGACGCCGTAGTGGAGGGCTCCGGAAATTTCGACCACCTGGGGTTCTTTAAAGTGCACCCAAATCTGAGCACACGGGCCTACAACATTTCCGCCTCCATCGGAAATACAGCCGCCGCAGCCAGGATTTGATTCTGCAACCTGCGGGTCAGCAGTCGAGTACCTTAGCCACTAGACCACCGCGGCGGGCATTAGAAGACAACTTGACGCTGACATTGCAGGGCCAGCAGCGAGTTGTTCCTTCGTCCAAAAAAAGTTGTCTTTTCTTTGCTCTTTAGTTTATTCACATATATATTATTACAACACACTTGAAACAGAACAACTGACATTTCCTATACTTTTTGTGGCTTCATTGTATCTATAAAATATCATCATCAAAGGCCAGAAGAAGAAGACAAAAGAAGAATCCTGCCTGGAGCCCGCGCGCGCTACTTCAATTATTCTAATAAACCGTATTCATTCGAAGCAGTCTCTGGTCTCGATCGGCTGCCACGAACCAGGATACTACCTCCTTGCCGGCAAGAAAGGTCAACCTGCCACGGAGCAGCAGAGAAAAAAAGGTGGAGGAGCAGACAATCGTTAAGAAGATGGGAAGCCAACACGGTCCCGAAGGCGCCACTGCTCCGAACTCCGCCGCCAAAGTCACCAGCCATTTGGTAGCGTATGTTACTCAGCTCGCGACTGCTTCTGCGCAGAGCTAATAGACGAGCGGACGAGATGACGAGGAGTTAAGGCGAGGTTTATGTACAGCATAGAAATAGAGGTGTTACACATTCGGCACTGGGGCCGACAGTTTAGGGACTTGAAGAGCCGAGATGTCTTTTCTCACGCATACGTCGGCTTCTCTCTGACACATAGATCAACTGCTGGCGACGCACCGCTTGGCTTTTTTTTTTATATTCACCAGGAGGACCTTTTGCATCACCAACGTCTAACCAGAAGCGCCGCTGGCCGTGATGTCAGAATCTTCCAATGGGGACCTGCCACTGGGCTGCATCATGATCATCAAATCCGGAGCCGCTGTGCTTAGTTGCAGCCAAGGACGAGTGATGTTGCCACGCATTACGTAAGACTCGCCAGTCTGGAAGGCACCGATTGCTTCATCGGGCTCGTGGGCTGAGGGAGGCGTTGCATAAGACAGACCGGCGCCGCCGCGTGATGATGTCACTAAGTTGATCGTGTCAGGCGGGCTCTATCGCTGGCCTAGACACAGATTGCCTTTGCAAAGGCATTGACGTTCGGTGTGGACTCCCAGGCAAAACAGGATCGACCTGGATCGAGCGACGAGACCACGGTGGACGGTACGAGCATCGGAACGAACGAATCACAAGTAAGGAGTCATTGTTAACCGCCTAAATATGAGCAAGGAATTGATAACGAAGAAAAGGAAGGCACTGCACTTCCAGATCACGCAACCTTTTAATGCAGCTGAGCAGCAAATTAATGATGGAGCTAACCGGGAGCAGCTGCTTACAACACAGGCGCGGATTAAAGGAATAAGCGACAGTCTCCAGAGTGCGAACGAGCAAATGGAAAAGTTTTTGACAGAAGACAATGCCGAAGCTGAATTCGAAAGGGTCATAGAGTACGATATGAAATGACCGATGACCTTGTCTGCAATAGAATTTAAGCTTCGACAGCCTGCACAATCGGATTCAAACGATAGGACAAGGCAGGTGACGCCATAAAGTACAGGACAAGAAGCAACGGAACTGGTTAAGCTACCAAAGCTTGAAATGATAAAGTTCGAGGGAGAAGCTTTGAAATGGAACCGCTTTTGGGCTCGGTACGAATCGGCAGTTCACCTGAGACCAAACATGAGCAAGGGACAGATTTTCAACTAGTTGTTAGCATCGCTAACCGAAAAAGCGGCGGCTGCTATTGAAGGACTTCAGCACTCTGCGGAGAAAAATTATGGCAACGCAATCAAAATACTGCGAAAAACGTTCGGAAATTGCAAACATGCAATTGAGGTGCACATAAATGAGCTCTTAAATTTACAGAAAGTGAGGTATGCTCAAGCGATGACTTAAATAGGCTAGTACAGAGAGTGCAAGTTAATATATTGGCACTCAAGTCCCGAAAAGTGGAAACCGAGAGCTACGTGCTAATGTTGTTACCTGTATTAAAAAGAGCAATTCCACCAGAATTATCGGTGCAGTTCATGTCAAAAGAGGCTATGAGAAACAGCTCAGCTTCAGAAAACGGTGAGCAAAGCAACCCAACAGGAAAAGCATGCGAGGAAAAGCTGGACAGGCTTATATTATTCTTAAGAGAGCAAGCAGCTTTTCGTGAAGAAACACAATGTGAACAAGAAAGGATAACTGCAACACCAAGAGATAACGGCTGACAGATATGCACAACTTCAAGCTTCTATTGCTCAGCGGACAGAATATGCTTATTCTGCAAACAGAAAACCCACGCAACCGAAAACTGTCGTTAGAGCACTCCAATGGATGAAAAAAAAGCTATGCTTACCAAAAATAGAGCATGCTTCAGATGCACGCAACCCAATCACACTGCATGCATTTGCAAAGCCCAAGTGAAATGCAAGTAATGCTAGGAACGACATGCCACATCAGTGTGGAGAACTGTGATGCAGAAAACAAGGCCAGAGCTGGTCTAAACAGCACAAGCCGAAGCGACGACGTCTACGCTACATGCAACCGAAAATATCAAGCATAAGTTTGTGCTTTTGCAGACAGCTGTAGCATGCATAGAAGGAGAAACATGTGGCAGACATTGCCATTTCAGACAGGGGAAGGTAACATTAATTCATTGAAGCCGGATTAGCGAAAGAAATAGGTGCGAAGGTGTTGCAAAAGGAAAGACTTACGATTGGTTCATTTGGAGGAGACGAAAAGGCCAAGCTAATAAACATGGTGCAAGTGACTATAGGACCTCGAGAAACAATAACGACAACAGTGACTGAAGCGTTACAAGTCGACGTTATCTCGCACAGTTGTATACCCACTCCAAGTCAGAAACTCGGCGAGAAAATTAAACAGCTAAAGATGCAAGTGGCGGATGACAGGATCGAGACGACTGCAACAGATTCTGTAGGACTACTGATCGGCTCAGACTATTATTGGGAGTTCTTTACTGGTAGAACTCGAAGAATCAAGGACAGACTAATGGCTGTCGAAACTATACTGGGACGGGTACTGCAAGAGTTGTCGGAGCAAAGCAAGGCAAACTAACACATAATCAAGCAGTCATGATTCTGAAGGTTGAAGCTGCGGGGACGGAACTCCAGCAAGAGCTACAAAAGTTTTGGAGCCTGGAGTCAATGGGGATCACAAGAAATAGTTGGAATAACACAGGAAATGAAGTGGTCGAAGAATTCGAGCGCAAGATTCTACAACAAAATAGTCGCTACTAAGTCAGCTTGCCATGGAAACAGGACGTAAACTTGGAAAGCAACAAGAAAAATGCGATAAAAAGACTACAGCAACTGACTAAAAGGCTGCAGGAAAATGAAGACATGCTGCATCGCTACAAAAAGCTATATCAGAGTACATGGCATTAGCAGTCGCAAAGGAGGTTCAAGAGCCATCAGAAGAGCCAAATGCACTTTGCTATTACATGCCACATCATGCGATCATTCGAGAGGACCGAGCTACAAAAAGGTTCAAGTAGTAGTGGTCGACGCCTCATCACATTCTCGAAAAAGCATGTCTTTAAACGATAACCTACAGGCAGGACCCAATTTGAATGAGGACATGCTATCGCTGCTCATGAATTTCCGAAAAGAAAAGGTAGCATTAGTAGGAGATGTTGAAAAGGCATTTCTACAAATCTCTATACACGAAGAGGATAGAGATTCAATGAGATTTCTGTGGTGGAAGCATGACGCTGGGGGAAGGTTAATGAATGGAGTGCAAACATGGTGCATGGCAAGAGTAACGTTCGAAACAACACCAAGCACATTTATCCTGGCAGCCACAATCAAGCTCCATTTGAAACAAGTGGAAGACCGGTTTCCTGATATGACAAGGACACTGCAGAAAGCGATCTATGTGGATGACGTCAGTCTGGGAGCAGCAATGCTTGATGAAGCAGTCAAGTTGTACAAAGTGGCAAAGGAAATGTTCAGAGAGGCAGCGATGAACTTGAGAAAATGGACATCCAATGAAGAGTGATTAAACAAAATAATAGATGAAAATGAAAGGGACAATTCTCACATGGTGATTCGATCTAGAGGATTTACAATGCTTCTGGGCTTGATAGGGAAAATATAATTTTCTTCCTAGTTAAAAAGTAAGAATTCTTAACAGATGCAGCGTACTTGACAAAAGGGGCCGTGTTACAAGCCACAGCAAAGATATTTGACCCGCTCAGTTTGTTGTCCCCGTTCACAGTACGCGCGAAAATAGGACTGCAGAGAGTGGGGAAAATGAACTTAATGTGGGACAACCAGCTCCCTAAAGAAGAATGCGACAAATGGAGGAACCTCCTGTCTGAAGCTGCAGACTTTCGAGTTCTAGAAATTATCCGATGCTACGCAAGCAAGAACCAACCAGT